AGGAGCAGAGAGGCTGACGTTTCGGGCCTAGACCCTTCATCAGAAAAAATTTTCTTCAGAAATTTTCTGATGAAGGGTCTAGGCCCGAAACGTCAGCCTCTCTGCTCCTATGATGCTGCTTGGCCGACAATGTCATTCCAGTCTGCTGCTGCCTTAGCCGAGGTGATATAATCTTAAACTAGCCCCTCAAGTCACATTGCGTTGGAGAACTAGGAGAGGTGAAATTACAGGAAGACAGGACAAAGAGAATGGACAAAGTTGACTTGGTGGATTTCTTCTTCGTCATACACAAAAATGCAAAATAACATATTCATATAAGTGCTTTAGAATGACTCAAATAAAGTCCACAAAGCCAACGGCACATTTTTATCAACTCAGTTGTAATGAGCAGCGAAATTGCAAATAGTGCCAGCATATTATAGTAGGGGTTGGTTAGCTGGAGGGCTGGCTTGTGACACAGAGTGATGCCAATGGTGTGGGTTCAATTTACACACCAGCTGAGGCTACCATGAAGGACTCTCCTTCTCAACCTCTCCCCTCAGGTTCAACCACCATCAGTTGTCTCTCTCACTAATGAAACTATGACAACTTCATAATGGGAATACAATTTGGAGCAAAGATACTTATGAAAGAAGACGAAAATATACCGGAAATGCCTCATAAGAATCCCTGTATTATCATGTCCTTGAAATAATACCCTTTTTTCAAAATGTAACTTTTGACCAGACAGGAAAGGACATAATACTAACCATCATTTTCAAGCAAGGGTGGACTTGGTTTACTTAAACTCACCTGGCTAAAGAGATGTTCTAAACAACCATGCAGTTTATCTTGTTTATCATGTGAAATATGAACATTGCAGGGTAATTCATCACCTATTAGAAACAAAAGAAAATAAAGATACTGGCTGTTGATTCACCATTTCAAAATATTCATTTTAAATTGAATACCTTGTATTTTGTTACTGCTCCTGGTCATATCTTGTTAACCTTTTGAGCTTTTACTCAACAGATAACAACTACTGATGTAATTTTGAAGGTCCAATTTAAAACATCACTTTGCTAAACAGCAGTTAGTATGACAAATGTTCTTTGCCAGTTATTGAGTTCCTTCTGGGTTAAAACACATGAATAATTTTATACTGAGGTTGCATAAGGGAAAGATTTTTTAAAAAAATTCTAAGAATGATAAACTCAAACCACGTGTTTCCAGTTTAGACAGAGACAGGTCTGGGAATGGAGTGGGTGTGCAGATGACTCAACAGATTTCAAAACATACTTGACTTGACACATCCTGTCCATCTTAGACTTAAGACATAGGAGCAGAAATTAGGCCATTCGGCCCATCGAATCTGCTCCGCCACTCACACATGGCTGATAAGTTCCTCAACCCCATTCTCCCGCTTTCTCCCCATAACCCTTGATCCCCTTGATAATCAAGAATCTATCTGTCTCAGTCGTAAATATACTCAATGACCTGGCTTCCACAGCCTTCTGTGGCAGTGAACTGCACAGATTCACCACTCTCTGGCTGAAGAAGTTTCTCATTATCACCGTTCTAAAAGGTCTTCCCTTTACTCTAAAGGCTGTGCCCTTGGGTCCTAGTCTCTCCTACCAATGGAAGCATCTTCCCAACATCCACTTCTGTCCAGGTCATTCAGTATTCTGTAAGATTCAATTAGATCCCCCCTCAACCTTCTCAATTCCAATGAGTGTAGTCCCAGAGTCCTCAAACGTTCCTCATATGTTAAGCTTTCCATTCCTGGGTCCATTCTCGTGAACCTCCTCTGAACCTGCTCCAGGGCCAGTACATACATCCTGAGATATGGGGCCCAAAACTGCACACAATACTCCAAATGTGGCCTGACCAGAGCCTTATAAAGCCTCAGTAGTACATCCCTGCTTTAATATTCAAGTCCTCTCAAAATAAATGCCAACATTGCATTGCCTTCCTGACTACTCACTCAACCTGCAAGTTTACCTTGGGAGAATCCTGGACTAGAACTCCCAAGTCTCTTTGCACTTCAGACTTCGGAATTTTCTCCCCATTTAGAAAATAGTCCATGCTTTTCTTCTCCTTACCAAAGTGCATGACCTCACACTTTCCCACATTGTATTCCATCTGCCACTTCTTTGCCCACTCTCCTAACCTGTCCAAATCCTTCTGCAGCCTCCCCGCCTCCTCAATACTACCTGTTCTTCCACCTATCTTTGTATCATCTGCAAACTTAGCCAGAATGCCCACAGTTCCTTCATCTAGATCATTAATGTATAAAGTGAAAAGTTGAGGTCCCAACACTGATCCTTGCAGAACACCACGAGTCACTGGCTGCCACCCTGAGAAGGATCCTTTTATCCCCACTCTTTGCTTCTCCCACCTCACTGACCAATCCCCACCACTGCCTACCTGCACTCATCTATCACCATCCCACCTACCATCCCCAAGCCCACCCCTCCTCTCTCTATTTATTTCTGAGCTCCCTTCCCCCTCCCCCATTTCTGAATAAGAATCCCGACCAGAAACATCAACTTTCCTGCTCCTCTGATGCTGCCTGGCGTGCTGTGATCCTCCAGCTCCACACTGTGTTATAGTTGCTCATTTTAATTTTTTTGTTCATTTATGAGATTTGGAAGTGACTGGCTTAGCCAGCATTTATTGGCCAACTCTGATTACCCTAGAGAAGGTGGTGATGCTGTCTCCCAGAACCACTGCAGTCCATGTGGTGTGTGGATACTCACAGTACTGTTTGAGACGGCGTTCCAGTATTTTGACCCAGCCACAGTGACGGAGGGTGATATTGATCTAAGTCAGGATGGTGTGTGGCTTGGAGGGGAACTTGAAGATGGTACTCCAAAGCACCCACTATCCTTGCCCTTCCAATTGATAGAAGTTATAAGTTGGGAATGTGCTGTCTAACGACCCTTACTGAGATGTTACAGTGCAACTCGTAGACGGTACACAACGCTGCCACTAAGCATTGGTAGTGAAAGGATTAAATGCTGAAGGTGTTAGATGGGATGCTAATCAAGCCGGCTGGTTTGTCCTAGATGAAAGCAACCTTCTTCAGTTAGAGACAGTAAGGACTGCAGATGCTGGAAGCTAGAGGTCAATAAATGTGGAGCTGGAAAAGCACAGCAGGTCAGACAGTACCGAGGAGCAGGATGGCATTTGCAGAGTCCTCCATCACATTCTTGACTTCTGCCTTGTAGATGATGGACAAGCTTTGAGGAGTTAGGAAATTAGAGGCAGCAGGATTCCCAGCCTCAGGCTTATTATCATGACCACGGCATTTATATAGCTGCTACAGTTCAGTACCTAGTCAGTGGTAACTCTGAGATGACGACAGTTAGACCATAAGATATTGGAGCAGAACTATGCCATTCTGTCCATCAAGTCTGCTCCACCATTTGATCACAGCTGATATGTTCCCAACCCCATTCTCCTGAAACCCTTGATCTCCTTACTAATCAAGAACTGACCTATCTCTGTCTTAAATATATTCAATGACTTGACCTCCACAGCCCTCTGCAGCAATGTGTTCCACAGATTAACCACTCTCTGGTTGAAGAAATTCCTCCTCATCTCAGTTCTAAAGGGTTGTCCCTTCACTCTGAGGCTTCGCCCTGGGATCCTGGTCTCTCCTACTAGTGGAGACATCTTCTCCACGCCCACTCTATCCAGGCCTCTCAGTCTTATGTAAGTTTCAATTAGATCCCCACCCCCTCACCTTTCTAAACTCCATCAATTACAGGTGCAGAATCCTCAACCACTCATGATGTGACAAGCCCTTCATCCCCAGGGTTATTCTTGTAAACCTCCTCTGGACCCTCTCCACCACCAGCACAGCCTTCCTTAGATTTAAGGTCCAAAACTGCTCACAATTGTGCAACAATGACATGAAACAATATTGATACAACTCAATATAGCTGTCACAACACCACATATCTACCTGAATATTTTCTACTTTTGCCAGCGAAACATGCAAACGCATTTAATTTTAGTGTTTTTCTTCACATGAGCTTATTCAAGTAAAGTTGAATGGAAGAAGAGAGAGGTCATATTCACACTTTTATCAATTTGTACAGAGCTAGTACATTAAATGTGATTTTATTTTATTTGAAAATCTTATTTGGTTCTTTAGTATTTTTTTTATTTTGATTCCTAAGTTACATATTTGGATTGCCATGGCTGTATGTGTTTTACTTAAAATTGTTTTTACATATTTTTATCTTTATCATTTGCAACCCATCATAAAACAATGTTTAAAATATGGAAGTAAAAGGTACACAATATAAAATACACAAGACAAAATAAATATTTAGAACATTTAAAAAAGTTAAAAAAGGCAATGACAAAGGTTGGACCAAAATCAGGTTAAAAAAATTGTTTTAAAAAGTTGAAGATGATCTTTGTAAAGTCTCATTTTCATTACAACCTCTGTATTTTGCTCACGTTGAATTTAGAGAGTTCACTAATCATGATCTGCATCATGTACACACACACACACACTCACTCACACAGATTCTCACACAGAGTTATATGGAGCTTACCAGAGTCCATCTCGTCACTGTGCACATAGAAATCACAGTGGCTGCTGCAGATGCTTGTAAAGGAAGCGATGGAATTCCTATTACTGTTACAGTCACTGAGGAGGAAAGAAAACATGTTAAGCTTCTTAAAGTCATGGAGTCATACAGCACAGAAACAGACTCTTCAGTCCATCCATTCCCTGACGATTGCAACCCCAGACTAAACTAGTCCCATCTGCCCGTTTTGGCCCATATCCCTCCAAACATTTCGTATTCATGTACTTATCTAAATGCCTTTCAAATGTTGTAACTTACGTCCATCACTTCCTCTGGAAGTTCATTTCACACACAAACCACTCTCTGTAAAAAAACTGAACCTCATGTCTTTTTAAAAATATGCCCCTAGTCTTGAAATCCCCCATCCTACGCGAAGGACACCTGCTATTCATATTATCTATCCCCCACATTAGTTTATAAACTTCTGCAAGGCCACCTCTCAACCTCCTATGCTCCAGTGAAAGAAGGCCTAGCCTAACCAGCCTCTCCTTATAACTCAAACCTTCCATTCCTGGCCACATCCCAGTAAACCTCTTCTGAACCCTCTGCAACTTAATAATATCAACTGTACAGTTTTACTCTGTATACTTTGACATGTGATGCATCTGCAGTAAGACCACAGAGTTGGGGTTATGTGCTGATGGGGATGCACACAACACTGATAAATGGTGTTTTATATGTACTCTGGCAGATTGCTGTCACAAAGTGTAATAATATCCTGAACAGTACTTAACAGCTTTTTTAAAGGGGGGTCAGTTAACTCAGTTAGCTTGACGACAGCAGGTTTGCAATTCAGAGTGTTACCAACAGCATGAGTTCAATTCCCACACCAGCTGAGGTAACCGTGAAGGACTCTCCTTCTCAATGTCTCCCCTCACCCTGACGCATGGTGACCCCCAGGTTAAACCACTACCAGTCAGTTCTTTCTAATGACAGAGAAGCCCTATGGTAACTCTTACCTGAGGTTTATATTATGACATATTTCTGCAATCTGTACTTATTTTCCTGATTATTGCCATTTCCAGAATGTTAACACTAATTGTTCTGACTGGTACCGTAATCTTAAAAAATCCTTTATCTCTCAATGCTCTCTCTTAACATTAAATCGTGCATCGTAATAAAATGTGTTACATGGTGTCATCAGTGAGTACTTTCTTTAACAATTAATTTAAGAATAAGTTAATTGTCTTGTAATCTGTTTTGCTCTCTACCTCGATGTTGTTTTGAGCATTGTTAGCAGCATCAAAAGCACAAAATGAAACATAACAAGGAGAATAATCTGAAGATCAAACACAATGTAATCACTGAGCTGCTTTGAGCAAGGTTTTAAATATTGTTGTCAGTTAGCCAATACAGCATGGACCTGAGATTCTATTCCAAATCAGTTCTCCTATGATATAATCAACACTCAAATGCTGCAGTACAGGTAACATTCAGATATAAATGCTGAATGCATTCACACCACATTCCTTAATGCAGCTTGAACCATGCATTGAACCATTAAAAATAATGAGCCTATCAGTGGCAAATGGAATTCATTAAGTGTGAGGATACGTAACACTTGCCTTTATTGGCCAAGGCATTGAGATTAAGAGCAGGTAGGTTATGCTAGACTTGCATAACATGTTGGTTAGGCCACAGATTGAGTGGTGCGTGCAGTTCTAGAATTCACGTTATAGAAGGGATCTGATAGCATTGGAGAGGATGCAGAGGAGATTTACAGGATGTTGGCAGGGTTGGAGAGTTTCAATTATGAAGAGAAGTTGAATAGACTGGTCTTTCCTTGGGGCTGAGGAGGCTGAGGGAAGGCATAACTGAGATGCATAAAATTATGATGGGCGTAGATAAGGTAGACAGGAAGAAACCTTTCCCCATGGTGGAAGGATCAATAACCAGGGGGCATAGATTTAAGGGCAGGGGCAGGAGGTTTAGAGGAAATGTGAGGAAAAATCTTTTCATTCAGGGTGGTGGGAATCTGGATTCACAGCCTGTAAGGTTGGTAGAGGCAGAAATCCTCATCACATTGACGAAGTTCTTAGATGTGCACTTGTGATTGTAAAGCGTATAATGCTATGGGCCATGTGCTGGGAAATAGGATTAGAATCGTTAGAACAAAGAACAAAGAAAATTACAGGTGGTTGTTTTAGACTGGTACAGCCTCAATGGGCTGAAGGGTGTTTTTCTGTGGTCCTGTACGACTCTGCGACTAAATGCCTACCTAAACTTGGCAGAAAGAAACTAAAATGAATTAATTAAGAGTTTGTAACTGAGCTTTACCAACTAAAAATTATAACCTGTATAAATGGATTATAAAACTAAATGCTCTAATTTGCTGTTGATATAGAGTTAACCAAATGTTTATAGAGTCATGGAGTTATACAGCATGGAATCAGACCCTTCAGTCCAACGCGTCCATGCCGACCAGGATTCCCAAACTAAACTGGTCCCATTTGTCTCCATTTTGCCCATATCCCCCTCAACCTTTCCTTTCCATGTCTTGTCCAAATGTCTGTTAAATGTTGTAACTGCACCTGCATCTACCACTTCCTCTGGCAATTCGTTCCAGACACTCACCACTGTCTATGTGAAAACATTTCCCCTCAGGTCTCTTCTAAAGCTTTGCCCTCTCACCTCAAACCTATGCCCCCTAGTTTTGGACCCCCCCCAACCCTTGGGAAAAGACTTTGGCTATTCAACTTATCCATGCCTCTCATGATTTTCTTTTGGTTTTCCGCATTTAAAAGCATGTAGGCTCACCCCCATTCATATTTCCTATTTCTAAGTATGATCCAATGCCATTAAAGTTCTAAAATATAATGAACTGCCCACAGAATAATTGGGTCGACATTCCTGAGACTTGTATTTGAGAGCCAGTTATGAGCCATTTGATTGGCTGAAATAATAACGAGTAATTGAGTAACTAAGAAATGAAGGTTAGCAAAATAACAAAACCCGGGTTTACAGGTTTGGTGACAGAAGGAGGAACAAGAGGAAGGCCCTGTGGTGTTAGATTAATCACCACCCCACAACTCTGCCCCCTACACGCCCGACTTTAGTCCAAAAGTCACAGAGTGCACTACAGTTAACAGGGAGTTGAGTGGAAAAGGGTGTGCAGTGTCTGGGACTCTTAGAAGTTCACAAGGCATCAGCAAGCTTATGTCAGATTTTAAGACTAAGGTAAGCCACTTGCAATGCATCCCCAATATTATTCTGTTCTCAGTCAAAAGGGGTTTTACTTGCTGAGGACAGAAAGTGACAGGGAATGTCCCTAGAAAAACCTAACAGGGCAGATTGAGAGGCTTAATGTAATTAAAGAAATCAGTACATGAAGTACAACAACAGGCACAAATAAAACTTAAACATCAGCAAAATAAACACTCTTAAGGAAAGTTATACGCTTAACTTTTAAGTCTTCCCAAAATCATTTTAAACTGAATATTGAGTATGATTATGTTGAAGAGTAATGTAAGGTATATTATACCTGTAAGAATCCCTGTTGCTTATTGTATCATGACCAGAATCTTCCTGGTCATCTCCAGATACTACAAAGCAAACTTTTTTGCTGTTCCGCTCTGCCTTATCAGCAATATTGTCCCCAGTTATCAGTGACTCATCTGCCTTGGTCCCTGATGTAGATGGATGTGTTATTGATGACAGGAGGCTATAAAATGGAAAATAAAACAACCAGTTCAAAGTAATTAATCTTTTTTATTGAAGAAAATAGTACAGCAAGTTCTTTTTTCACCTACAAGCAAACTGAAATAGTCAGGGCTGCATTATAATTTACAGTAAGAAGTGTTTTTGTGACTGCACGTGTTTGTTTGTGTATCTGCGTGCATGTGCATGTGTATGTGTGCGTATTTTGCGTATGCTTGTCTGTTTGAATGGGTATGTGTGTGTGAGTGCTTTTGTGGACATGTGTTTTTGAGTGCACATGTGTGTTTTTGGGTTAGTGCTTTTGTGTGTGTTTTCTTGTGTGTGTACACATGTGTGTGCATGTCTACATGTGTGTGCTTTTGGGTGTGAGTGTGAGAGAGACAGAGAACAGAAAATTGACAGCATGTCTAATTGACCAACATCTATTTTATCACAGGGGGTTAGGCTATACAACCACAACTCCTGCAGGACCTTAAATCCAGGAGAAGTAGGTGATTTCTAACCCATTAACAGCTGAATATCCAATGTTAGATACTTTCCAAACTTGGAGTTCATCCAGATTATTAATGCAAGAGAAACCTGTTTGGGGTCAGCATTGCAACTTGTTGAGCAAACCCAATTCTTACGATATTCAGTGTCTATGGGCTGATAACTAAAACTGCATGTTGCAGTGATGAACACATTTGGAAAACCATTCCCAGGACACCACATTTATTAAATTCATAATCTTTAACAAGAGGATGCTATTCAGGACCAGCTTTTATTGCACATCCTGAATTGTCCTGAATAAAACAATAGTGAGTTCTTCAAGAACTGCAATCCACCTCAAGAATATTCAGAAGGCTGTGGGAGGGAGTCAGGATTCTAATCCTGGGACAATGAAGGAATAACAATATACTTCCAGTTCAGGTGAGTTTTTGCAACATTTTGGTTGCTTCACGGGCAACATTGCTGATGCTGCTGTTCTATTCCAGATTTATTTCATTAACAGAATGCAATTTCTCCTGGAGTTTGAATTTACATTCCCGAATCGTTAATCCAGACCTGAAACCTACTGATCCAAAGATGCTGGCAGATCGGTTGAGTATTTTCAGCATTTCCTGGTTTTGTTTCAGATTTCCAGCACCCTCAGTCTTTGCATTATCAATACAATAATCAAACGAAACATCATGCCTGATTACGGAAGACTCCAAAATAGTTTTTTTTTAAAAGATGATCAAATTTCACAAAGTGCTTTTTTCTTTTACATATATTCGTCAATATATTGACTAAAGCCTTTGAAGTCATATTCCATTCAAAATTATGAATATGTTTTCTACTTTGATGTTTATAATTTAACTGCAATAACAGAAATATTTCTAAATTACTACAGCTTTCGTGAATTGGTAAGTTCTCTCCAAAATGACAAATTTAATGGGGAATTGTTACAGAATCCTTTCTAGTCAAAACAGATATTACTCATACAGCCACTTCAGAAGAGCTGTCTCATTAAAATGCTCCATCATCCACTTTCGTACATTTAGTGAGGTCTCCAAAAATCGATGTATCGCTGGGGCCTTTATGTGTCAAGTCACTTTTATGAAGATTGCTTCACTTTTAAGCAGCAGTTATCAGCTTATGAAGCTCAAGAACATTTATTCACCTCTTCAAACTGAAACAAAAACTCAAGACATTTGTGCAATAGCAAGTTCTCCTGCCCTTTCCTTCCTCACCATACCATTAATATTCCTTTTTTATTCATTCACATGATGTGGTTGTCCTGGATTAGGCCAGTACTTATTGTCCATCCCTGATTACCCAGAGGGCTGTTAAGAGTCGACCACATTGCTGAGGGTCTGGGGTCACATGTGGATCAGGCCAGGTAAATATGGAAGTTTCTTCACTAAAGGACTTTAGTGAATCAGATGGGGGTTTTTTTCACGAGAATTGATGCAAAACCGTTAGCTTACCATTTTATGCCAGATTTTTAAATTTTAATGCAAATTTCACAGTGAGATCTGAACCCACATACCCAGAACAATTCCCTGGGGCTCAGGATTAGTAGCCCACAGACATTACCACTACACCATTGTCTCCCCTTAAAAAAAACTGTCCCTGGATCCTTTAATTCATTATTGTTCATATATTCACCAGGCTGAAGGGATTGTACATTTCTCATTTTGTGATAAGGGGGGGGACTCAGTCCCTTCAAAGCATCATAACCAGGACACTAGCCCACCAAGACAAGTAAACCTTCCCACTAAGTCCCTCTGTGTCATCTTGGCCAGTGCAGACACACTAACAGCAGAAATTATACTGAAACATTTGGTCACACTTTTATTTCCTACACCTTCATTCCTGATCTTCAAAGGGGAACAGTACAGTGAATTAGAAATTAATTCAACTTAAACAACATTGAATTAATTTTGATTGAATCCCCACTGGGCCATTTTGATGTGTTCATATTCTGATTAATCTCTTGCTTTCATGACCGGAGATTATGGATTTAATTGCTTTGTAGTATTTTCTTCAATGTTGACTGATTGCTGATTTTTACCTTGAAGCCAGTAAGTAGTTTTACACCAGTATTTGCTTTAAGGTATATTTGATGCCTCCCCATTGATAAAGCTGATATAAACTTTTTTAATATAAATATTGCATAAAATGTGTCAGAAATGGTATACACACTGTTTCAGGGAGACAAGAATGGCTACTGGATGATCTGCTATCAGTGTTATCTCAGTGTCTGATTACTTCAGTAGGTTTGTTGAACGGAAAAGGGAGAAAGGAAAACACTGGTCACATTTAGGACAGCACAGTGGCTCAGTGGTTAGCACTGCTGCCTCATAGCACCAAGAATCTGGGTCCAATTCCACCTTGGGCGACTGTCTGTGTGGAGTTTGCACATTCTCCCCGTGTCTGTGCGGGTTTGCTCCAGTTTCCTCCCACAGTTCAAAGGTGTGCAGGCTAGGTGGATTGGCCATGTTAAATTTCCCATATAGTGTTCAGGGAGGTGTAGATTAGGTGGGTTATAGGGGGATGGGTCTGGGTGGGATGTTTGAGGGTCAGTGTGGACTTATTGGGCCAAAGGGCCTGTTTCCACACTGTAGAGAATCTATGTTTAGGGTCAAACAGGGGGTGTCATGATGGTTCACAGGGCCAGGGACCTGGATTCGATTCCAGCCATCGGTAACTGGGTAGAGTTTGCATCTTCTCCCCGTGTCAGTGTGGGTTTCCTCCCAAAGTCCAAAGATGTATAGAGTAGGTGGATTGGCCATGCTAAATTGTCCCTTAGTATCCAGGGATGTGCAGGCTTGGTGGATTAGGCATGGTAAAAGACAGGTTACAGAGATATGGTGGATGTGGTTCAGATGCTTCTCAAAGGGTCTGTGCAGACTTAATGGGCCAAATGGCCTCTTTCCACACAGTAGGGATTCTATGATTCCAATACCAAGTGGGTTCACTCTAAGTATCAACAAGTTAAGGACTATATTTATAATAATTAGTGGAAGTTTACTTAATTATAATTGACAGTTGGACCTACATATCTTGTCCAGTGTTAAATAAGAAATTGCTCATGTACTCACTCATCTATCTGTGCAGTATAGATTTCCAGTTCTTTCACAACTGTCTGCAGCTTATTCAATAGCTTCTGATAGGCATCTTGTGTTTCCACGTCCTTTTCCTTCAGGAGGAAGTGCAGACCTGGTCCATTTTGCTGACCCAAACTATGCCCAGATGGAGCTGCCATGGTGGTAATGCAGTGATGGACATATTCCATTGGGTCCAATTCATCTATGAAATATCAAAATGAAGTGCGAAATACTAAATTTCCTTCACAGGAAAGCGTACTAACAACAGTATCAGGCAATATTTAACTGCATACCCATTTGAAATGCATGCTGTCCACTAAGAGTATGCTTCCAATTATTTAACAATAATTTATATTTCATCTGTCTGATTAAACAATCACATGTAAGTCAAATAAAAACAAAGTGGTGGAGAAACACAGCAGGTTTGGCAGTATCTGCGGAGAGAGAAACAGCACTAATCAGTACTGGAGATAACAAGGTGTAGAGCTGGATGAACACAGCAGGCCAGGCAGCATCAGAGGAGCAGGAAAGCTGACGTTTCAGGTCTGGATCCTTCTTCAGAAATGGGGGAGGGGAAAGGGACTCTGAAATAAATAGATAGGCGGGGGGGCGGAGACAGATGGAAGGTGGACAAAGGAGCAGATAGGTGGAGAGGAGACGGACAGGACAAGGAGGCGGGGATGAGCTGGGCTGGTTTTGGGATGAGGTCAGGGGAGGGGAGATTTTGAAGCTTGTGAAGTCCACATTGACACCACTGGGCTGCAGGGTGCCAAGAGAAATAGGAGGTGCTGTTCCTGCAGCCTTCGGGTGGCATCATTGTGGCACTGCAGGAGGCCCAGGATGGACATGTCATCCAAGGAGTGGGAGAGGGAGTTAAAATGGTTCGCGACTGGGAGGTGCAGTCATTTGTAACGAACCGAGTGTAGGTGTTCCACAAAATGGTCTCCAAGCCTCTGCTTGGTTTCCACAATGTAGAGGAGGCTGCAGGAACAGCACCTCATATTTCGCTTAGAAACCCTGCAGCTCAATGGTCTCAGTATGGACTTCACAAGCTTCAAAATCTCCCCACCCACAACCTCATCCCAAAACCAGCCCAGCTCCTCACCGCCTCCTTGATCTGTCCGTCTCCTCTCCACCTATCTGCTCCTTTATCCACCTTCCATCCGCCTCCCCCTCCCTCTATTTATTTGAGTCCCCTTCCCCTCCCCAATTTCTGAAGAAGGGTTCCGACCCGAAACATCAGCTTTCCTGCTCCTCTGATGCTGCTTGGCCTGCTGTGTTCATCCAGCTCTATACCTTGTTATCTCAGATTCTCCAGCATTGGCAGTTCCTACTATCTCTCACTAATGAGTACTTTCTGTTTTTATTTCCTGTAAAATCTGTTTGTCTTTCTGCTGATACTGTCAGACATGCTGAGTTTCTCCAGCACTTTGTTTTTATTCTAGAACTTCAGTATCCACAACAATTTATTTTTATTATCACATGTTAGGTGATATTACCGATGAATGCTGCAAAACCCCCAGATATAACCACTTGCCTCTGTCACCCTAATACTGTAAGGATTTTTTGCCAGTAGATGGTGTTAACTTCTTGTATGTATTTTTTGTGCTCTAGGATTAAAAGACCATCAAGGTAAATTACAAAAACATCTACATGTAAGATTCTGCCAAACCTTTAATGAAAGGGTGGCACAGTGGCTCAGTGGTTAGCATTGCTGCCTCACAGGGACCCAGGTTCAATTCCAGCCTCGGTTGACTGTCTGTGTACAGTTTGTATGTTCTCCCCTTGTCACTGTGGAGCTTCCTCCAGGTCCAAACATGTCCAGTTTAGGTGGATTGGCCATGCTAAATTGGCCACAGTGTCCAGGGATGTGTAGACTAGGTGGATTAGCCATGGGAAATGTAGGGTTACAGGAATAGGGTGGGGGTCGGTGGTAGGGTGGTGGTTGTGTCTGGGTGGGAAGCTCTTCAGAGAGTTGGTGTGGACTTGTTGGGCTGAATGGCCTGTTTCCATGTTGTGGGGATTCTATGATGATTAAAGGCCAGTCAATAAATTATCATCTCACAAAAGGAGTAATTTTGCAACCTGGCCTACCCTAAAGAAGGGGAGAACTTGTTATGTCTTCTTTAACTATGCAAACAGCCCATCATTTACCACAAGTTCCTCCTGATAAGCCAAATTAAAATAGTCACCTGTGTGACCCATTACAAACTCATCTGTAAAACTTCTCTAAAACATAAAGATTAAAAACTAAGCAGAACATTGGAGTTTAGCAGTTTTGGCAGCCATTCTTTCCATCCCTTCATCAAAATCACTTTTATAAACTGTAAACAATTGAGATCCTAGCACCAAGCACTGGGACACACCATTTCTTATAACCTGCCAAACTGAACAAAACCTGATTATGCCTACTATCTTCTTGCTGTTAGCCACCCATTCTTCGATCCGTGCTTGTATGCTACACCCTACACCGTGAGATTTTATTTTCCATAATATCCTTTCATGGGGAATTTCATCAAACATCTTCTGGAAATCTAAGTACAGTATATCCACCAGCTTCCCCAGCATCTTAGGTCTTCAAAGAACACCAATACATTGGTTAAACAGGATGTCCCTTTTACAAAACCATTGACTCTGCCTGATCGCTGTGCACTTATCCAAGTGGCCTGCTATAACTTCTTTCATAATAGTTATTATATTTTCCCTATTGCTGGTGTTACATCTCACTGGCCTTTAGTTTCCAGTTTTCTGTCTCCCTCGATTTTTTAACAAAAGAGTTACATTTGTTATTTGCCAATCTAATAGGGCCTTCAATTGAACTTGAGAGCGTTAAAACTATCATGTCTCTCACTAGCCACTTCTTTCAAGACCCAAGACACTTAGAAGGCATTTGTCAGCTCATAGCTCCATCAATATACACAGTGCCACTTCTCTGGTGGTTGTAATTTTGAGTTCCTCTCTCTATTCCATTTCCTGATATTATAGTTATTTCTAGAATGTTGCTTAATTCTTCTACAATAAAGACTGATGCAAAATGTCTGTTAAATTCTTCTGCCATATCCATATTACCCATTATTAATTCTCCAGACTCACATTGATTAAGATCAATGCTCATTTTGTTAATTTTGTTTCCATGTCAGGCACATGAGCTGTCATCAGGTGAAAGAATTGTCTTTGAAAAAAGAAGTCCCATCAGGAAGATGAATTCCAGGCATGTCACTTAAGCTTAATTCTGACTCTGAGTGCCCACTAATCACCAGGACGACAGATCTGATGTTCTGATTCTCTCCAACTGATCTCCCCTCAAGCTCAGTGTTCAATGTGTCAGTTGTGAATACATAGATCTGATTAGAGGTATCTTTGTCAGAGGTAATTGATGTGAATATTCCAGATAATACAGCTACCACAAACATACTGTGTTAATCGTTCGCACATGTTGTGACACTGAAGAATTTTGTTGTGTTCCCCGTTTATCTTCTTGGATTACTTAAAATGGTCTTCAGTACATAGAAGAGAATCCCTACAGTGTGGAAACAGGCCCTTCGGTCCAACAAGTCGACACCGACCCTTGGAGCATCCCACCCAGACCCATCCCCCTATAACCCACCTAATCTACACATCCCTGAACACTACGGGCAATTTAGCATGGCCAATCCATCTAGCCTGCACCTCTTTGGACTGTGGGAGGAAACCGGAGCACCTGAAGGAAACCCACGCAGACACGGGGAGAATGTGCAAACTCCACACAGACAGTCACCCAAGGGTGGAATTGAACCCGGGTCCCTGGCACTGTGAGACAGCAGGGCTAATCACTGAGCCACCATGCCACCCAGGGCAGGGTAGATAAAGATAAGTTATTTTTGCTGGTTAGGGATTCTAGAACAATGGGGTATAGTCTGAGAATGAGGATCAGACTGTTCAGGAGAGATGTCAGGAAGCACTTCTACACACAGAGGGTGGGGGATGTTTGGAACTCTCTTCCACAAATGGCAGTGGATGCTGGATCAGTTGTTAATTATAAATCTAAGATAGATGCATTTTGTTAAGCAAGGGTAGTAAGAGATAATGCTGAAGGTGGGTATATGGAATTAGGCCACAGATCATGCATGATCTCACTGAATGGTGAAAACATCTTTTCCATGTCCACTCTATCCAGTGTTCTCAGTATTCTGAGAGTTTCAGTCAGTTCCCTCTTCATCCTTCTAAACTCCACCGAGTACAGAGGAAGCATCCTCAACCACTCCTCATATGACGTCCCCTTCATCCGTAGGATAATCCTCTGGATCCCTCCAAGGCCAGCACATCCTTCCTTAGATATAGGGTCCAAAACTGCTTGCAATAATCCAAATGCGGTCTGACCAGAGCCTTCTACAGCCTCAGCAGTACATCCTGCTCTTGTAGTCTAGCCCTCTCAAAATGCTAACATTGCATTTCCTAACTGCAATTGTCTTCCTAACCTCCAACTGCACCTGCATGTTAACCTAAAGAGAATCTTGAATTTGGACTTTTTAGTTCCTTTGTGCTTCAGGTTTCTGAAGCCTTTCCCCATTTAGAGAATGGTCAACATCTCTATTCTTCCTACTAAACTGCACAGCTTCAAATTTTCCCACATTATATTCCATATGCCCCTTCTTTGCCCACTCTCCTAGCTTGTCCAAATCCTTTGCAGTCTCCCTACCTCCTCAACACTACCTTCCCCCCCACCTATCTTTGTGTCACCTGCAAACTTTATAGCAATGTCCTCAGTTCCTGTGTCCAGATTGTTAATAATAACATGAATACTTGAACTCTAGTAATCACCAGTTGCCACCCTGAAAAGACCCCTTTATTCCACTTTCTGCATTCTGTCAGTCATCCAATCCTCTATCCATGCCAGTACCTTTCCCCTAATACCACAAACTCCTGTCTTATTTAGCAGTCTCCTGTGTGGCACTTTGTCAAAGGCCTTCTGGAAATCCAAATAGATCACATCCACTGGCTCTCCTTTGTCTAACTTGCTTGTTACTTCCTCAAAGAATTCTAACAGACTTGTCAGGCATGACCTCCCCTTGACAAAGCTCTTCTGACTGAGCCCTATTTTAACAAGCACTTCCAAATACTCCGCAATCTCATCCTTAATCATGGATTCCAAAATTTTACCAACTACTGAAGCCAAGTTAATCGACCTATAATTTCCCATCTTCTGCCTCCCTCCCTTCTTAAAGACAATTGCTTTATTAGCCAGTTTCCAGTCCTTTGGGACCTTCCCCGACTCCATTGATTCCTGAAGGATCACCACTAATGACTCTATAATCTCCTCAGCTATCATGTTCAGAACCAAGGAGTGTAGTCCATCTAATCAGTGATTTATCCAACTTCAGACCTTTTAGCTTCCCCAGCACCTTCTCCTTATGATGGTCACTACACTCACCTCTGCCTCCCTGACTTTCCTGAAGTTCTGGTATGCTGCTAGTGTTTTTAACTGTAAGACTGGTGTAAAGTACTTATTCAATTCCTCTGCTGTTTTTTGTTCCCCATTACTATTTCTTCAGCCTCTTTTTCCCATGGTCCAATGTCCACCCTTGTTTCTCTCTTACCTTTTTATAAATCTAAAAAAAAAAATTCTTACCATATTCTTTTATGTTACTAGTTTGCTTACCTTCATATCTAATCTTCTCCCTCTTTTTTTTTTGTAGCTGTCCTCTGCTGGTTTTTAAAGGCTTCCCACTAATCTTCATCAATTGTCCATTTCTTTCATATTTCTTTTTCTTTATTCATTCACGGGATGAGGGCAACATTTATTGCCCATCCCTAATTGCCCAGAGGGCAGTTAAGAGTCAACCACATTGCTGTGGGTCTGGAGTCACCTGTAGGCCAGACCAGGTAAGGATAGCAGTTTCCCTCCCTAAAAGGACATTAGTGAACCAGATAGATTTTTCTGACAATCGACAATGGATTCAAAGTCGTCATTAGATTCTTAATTCCAGATATTTATTGAATTGAAATTCCACCATCTGAATTTCTGCTGTTTCTTGAATTACCCCCTAAAAACTTCTGCCATTGCTGCTCCACCATCTTCCCTGCTAGGCTCCCCTTCCAATCAACCCTGGCCAGTTCCTACCTCATGTCTTTGTAGGTATAAATGAATGATTCCTGGTCACCATTACTGAGACTAGCTTTCAATTCCAGACTTAATTAATTGAATTCAACCTCCCCCACATACTGTGATGAGATTTGAACTTACATCTATGGAGCAATAGTCTGGGACTGCTCAATTAGAAGCCTAGAAACACACTGCCACTAGTTTCCCTATGAAAAGGCATGGAGAACGCAGGCATCAATCCCGCTACCTCTCACATGAAAAGCAAGAGCTCTACCAGTTCAGATAATTTTCCTCACCAGATGAATTTAACTTGTTAGCCATTATCTTTGATGCTGCTACATTTGGCATTATCATCATGCAAGAATATTGGATGTGAGACCACAGATAAAATATGCCCTCTCACATTTGGTGAGTAAGTCATTTTATAGCTTGCACATTGCCTATTTTTGAATTCACCCATTCAAACTTCCATTATTTATTTTCAGCAAAGTCAATGAAAGACAAAATCAGAGGTCATACCACAGTTTAACTTTTGGGGGTTGACATCAGTGCTGGGCTGTCTCCTACTGTCCAGTTGTACACCAAATGCACTGCCCAATGATGCAACATTTTTAGGATACGACACTTCCATCACATTTAAATGGCAATTGGTTGGGCAGAAGTCACTGCTATGCAATGGAGAAATCTTGGACTTGGCTTGCTTGAAGGTTGGCCAGGCTCGGTTTTTCAGAACTCGTGAAAACTAAACCGAAAATATGGTCAAAGTCACAAATCATACTGACTGATACAAAAGCATTAATGTCAATCCCAATACCGTTAACAACAGTAAAGATAAAAGAATGAGGACTGGATTGAAAACTCCCAACTCAATGACTCCCCTGTACAGGAACCGTCTTCATCATTTCTATGACACTGAGATACAAAAACCTTGACCTGGACCTGGACCTGGACCTGGACATCAAAGACATTCCTTTCTCCGGTTCCTTTTCCATGCTTGCTGTTGCTGACAGAATCTCTTGATGAATTGTATCCTTCATATAGGTGTTTCCTCCAAGTCAGTTTCTTCTAAACGAGGGTCTCCCATACATTGACATCTATGTTGCATTTCTTGATGGAGGCCCAGAGGGATCCTTTGAAACCCCTGTATTTTCTGATTTGCTATATCTCTTCCTCAACACAAAAGGCTGATTAGTTTGTCAATTAACAACACACATACCATTCCGAACTACTCAGACATCATTCTATACTCAGCAGGGTTTACTTGCATTTTCTTGTGATAATCTGTGTTCGTTCAGCCATTAGTTCACAACTAATCATGATCTACTAAAATCAGTGATCCTTCGATGAAATCTCATTGCACTCAAATCACATTAATTGCAAATATTTATTTGCCTTGGAAACAGTCAGCAGCATTCAATTAAGATCATTAGAAATCAACTGACATGGAATTAAGCTGAAACAAAAAACACTAGAACAATTCCTCAGTATCGACATGATTAAGCATTAAACTAGCTAGAGATCACAGAGGTCTCAGCTATTTTCCCAATTGCATGCATGTTTCACAAATCATTCACAACAGTGATCATGAACGAGTTGTTAGTATTAACAGTATCAATTAAAGGTGATTAAAGGCTTCCCTCTAATCTTCACCACATTGCACGTTTTTTCATTTATGCTGTCCCTGACTTCCCTTGTCTGCCATGGTTGCCTCATCCTTGTCTTAGTATATTTCTTCCTCCTTGGGATGAATTTCTGCTGTGTCTTCCGAATTACCCCGAGAAACTCTGGCCGTCGCTGCTCCACCGCCTTCCCTGCCAGGCTCCCCTTCAGATCAACCCTGGCCAGCTCCTCCCTCATGTCTTTGTAGGTTTAAATTGGCAATTCCTGGTCACCATTACTAAAACTAGTTATCCATCCCAGACTTAATTAACTGAATTCAAACTCTCCCACAAGTTGTGACAAGATTTGAAGTTAACCTCCAGAGCATCAGCCTGGGACACAGATATGACCTATCTGCCATTACTTTCTCCATCAGGATGCAGCATTGATCCCACTACTTCTCATATGAAAAGCAACTTCCATTTCTCTAATACTTCATAATGCAACACAATACACTTACTGTAATGATACATTATTATTGACCTGCCCATCCCTCCATAACTGCTCCCTGAATCCTCATTGTCCCATCTCCTTCTCATTTCCCCACACTTTCCATTCTCCCTGCTCCTCTTGTCTATCTATCTTCTTCCTGTGACTCTGCTCTCTCCCCTCTCACTGTCTGCTCCCATTTCAACTTTCCTCTCTTTATACCACCCATCTCCTCACTCCTGCCAGCCCATTCAAAGCACCAGTCATAACTGGATGCTATGCTGGGAGTTTATTCTAGTCCAGTCTAGTCTGTTCTGGGAACCATGGGGATGGATGACAAGGGAAGGAGGAGGGATGCTAAGTGAGTTTGGGAAGTCATCAGGGCATGGGGAATGGGATGGCACAGGGAGACGGGTAATAGGTCGCATATGGGGGGGTGTGTGGATGCATGGCCTAGCTTTCCCATTGTGGCCACATCCCATGGTTTGGGAATGAAGACTCATGTACAGGGGAAGAGGGGATTGTTACATTCTTGGGAAAATGTTGAAGGGAGGGAGGGTCTGAACCTGGAGCTGCAGACCTATGGTAGGGCAGAATGGGAAGTATAATCCTGAGATTGAGTGTGGGGGTGGGGAGCAGGAATGCAGTCTGAAATCCATGAGGTTTGTCAGGCTAGGGAATCAGACACACAGACATACTCATGAAGATTGTTTCCATCAGGCCTGAACAGGCGAGGCTGAGTGTTGTGTTGTCTGGACTCACAGCAGAGGAAGTGAGCTTTGTGAAAAATTGCAAATTGGGTGGTGAACCACAATGCTGTCAATTTAGGCCACACACCTGCTGAGAGAGTCTCTCTTTAAAAACGTTTTATTCACAACATGTTTTTAACCTTTGTCTTATCTTGCCCCTTTAGATGAAGCCCTCACTGGGATGACGTGCTTCTTTGGACAATATCACAGTCTGGGCATCGTGGTAGGACTGCACATTGGGCAATCCTGGTGACCCTGTTGAGTTCCCTGTGATTGTGAATGATCAGCTGCGGATGGCAGGTGGGATTTACTTGTGTCTTCTTTGTCACCCCGGGTCACATTGCAGCCTGATCCCCAACTTCAGTGCCTCAGCAGTCAATACTGAAGAATGGTGGCCAAAGTAGATGGGGTTTGCTGGTAAGACCCCTCCATGTTTTCATCTAGCAACAGTGAGGTAACGGCAATGTCGTTCCAAGTCAGGATGGGGTGTGGCTTGGAGAGGAACTTGCAAAGGCTGCTTCTACATTATCTTCCAGGTGGTAGAGATCACCTGAAGACCGAACCCGAAATGTTAACCCCGTTTTCTCTCCACAGATGCTGCCAGGAGTTTCTCCAGCAATTTCTGTTTCTGTTTCTGACGGAAATCATAGGTTTGGAAGATGTCAGTGAAGGAACCTTGTGAGTTGGTGAGTTTCCAGCTTTAATTTTAAATGGTATAGTTTTAAATGTATTTTAACTGTATTCTTATTAATCCCAATGTTACTTTATTTACAAAATTGCTGGAGAAACTCTGAAGTCTGGCAACATCTGTGGAGAGAAAGCAGAGTTAACATTGCGCGTCCAGTGACTGTTCTTCAAACCTACTAGTAGCTACTCAAAGGTGGTATATTTGCTGAAGATGGAGGTGGGGGTGGAGAAGGAGTAAGCGTATAGAGACAGAGGCCAGAAATAGAGAAAGGTAGTCAGGTAGACAAAGGATTGGATAATGGTAAGCCAGGGAGAAAGAAGAGCTGATAATGGGGAACATGAGTAGGTAAAAATGGAATCAGAGATAGTAGGAACTGCAGATGCTGGAGAATCCGAGACAACAATGTGCAGAGCTAGATGAACACGGCAGGCCAAGCAGCATCATAGGAGCAGAAAGGCTGACGTTTCGGGCCTAGACCCTTTATCAGAAAATGGTCAAGGGAAGGTAGGAGGCCTTGGGGTGGTGTCCAGGAGGAGGGGGTGTGTTGGAGGCAGGAGAAGGGGTCAGTAGAGGGATGGTTAGGTTCACGGTTGAAGAAGTAAGCATGGAGGTGGAGGCGGCAGAAAAACTGCTCTATGTCCAAACGTGAGCGGTATTCGTTTTTGTGTGGATGGAGGGGGACAAAAGTAAGCCCTTTTTCTGATGAAGGGTCTAGGCCCGAAACGTCAGCCTTTCTGCTCCTATGATGCTGCTTGGCCTGCTGTGTTCATCCATCTCTGCACCTTGTTGTCTAGGTAAAAATGGATTGGCTGTGCTATTTTCACTGACTTAAGGTCCCCATTATCAGCTTGATTATATCTGGCTTGATTTGGTTCATTGTAGTCACGTGTACCTAAGGACAGTGAAAAGTTTTGTTTTGCAAACAGTACAGGCAGATCACAGCAAACAAGGACTTACAGATCATAGGGCGCTTAGACAGAGTGAGGCATGCAAGGTTACAGCTGCACAGGAGGTGCACAGACCAAGATCCAATTGCAGAGGGTGGAGCTGAGACCGAGGTCTCGGAGTTTTGAGATCAGTCTGGTGGGAATTATGGTGTTGAAGGTGGAGCTGTAGACAATGAGAAGGAGCCTGATGTGGATGTCCTTGTTATCCAAATGTTCCAAGGATGAGTACAGGGCGAGGGAAATGGCATCGGCTGTGGACCTGTTACGTCGGTAGGTGAATTACAGGGGATCGAGGTAGGCTGGGAGACTAGAGCTGATGTAGGCCATGACCAGCCTCTCAAAGCACTTCACGATTATAGGGGTCAGAGCCACTGGGTGGTAGTCATTTAGGCATGTTGCCTGTGCTTTCTTTGGCACAGGGATGATGGTGGTCTTTTGGAAGCAAGTGGGGGCTTCGAATTACAGGAGGGAGATATTGAAGATGTCAGTGAATACCTCCGCCAGCTGGTCTGTACAGGATCTTAGTGTATGGCCAGGCACTCCATTTGGCCCATTGCTTTCCTCAGGTTTACTCTCAGGGAGACCGATATGAAGTCTGCAGTGGCTTTTCTTTCTCCCTAGCTTACCATCATCCATCCTTTGTCTGCTTAGCTACCTTTCTCTCTTGGGCTTCTGTCTCCACCAATTCACTCACTCCTTCTCCAAACTCACCTCCACCTTCAGCATATATACCACCTTTTCCTAGTTACTAACACTTCTGAAGAAGGGTCACTGGACTCAAAATCCTGACTTTTTCTCTCTCCACAGCTGCTGCCAGACCTGCTTTTTTGTTTCAAATTTCCAGCATCTGCAGTTCTTTGATTTTATCTTAGGATTTGCTGACATGGACCTTTTGGCTTGTCAGGCCCAGCTACTCCCTAATCTTCACTCTACAAGTACTTTCACTTAAAAGAGGCACAAGGTGACTGGTTCGTCTTACAACATATGTGACTAGCTGGTTAAGAGCTACAGCTTACAATAACTGATAAGGAGGATTAAACTAGCTTTCTTCAGGTTTGAGGGGACAATTTTTTTAGTGTAGGAAGAAGGACAGCTCTTTCCTTTTTGAAGGTTTGATGGCTTCGTTCCAAGCATTCCCACCCACAAGCTTTTCAGCGACCTGGGAGCCAATCATATAGTTGGTGGCAGGCAGAAAACAGTTGTCTTTGACAGTGGGTAACCATTCTCCAGCAACTTGCTGCCAGGCAAATCTCCATTCATATTCACAGCCTGGCTCCAGCTCATCTGCACTCTCTCCCCAGAGTTTGAACAACCAGCAGTATAAAGAGTACAATGCATGTCAGGTTACATGTTTTTAAAAGGTGCAGCTATTGTTTCCATAATCCTTGGTTCAAAACAGGCCTTTTTGCTTTTTGGTTCAAAGCCAAGAATAAAGAATAATAAAAAGATATGGTCTTTAAACAAAATTTTCTGGTAGACTGGTGCTCACTTACTGTTATTTTTCATAAAAATTCTGGGCCATCATACAGAGACAGACTAATCACAGAGTTAACCGCACAGCATTTTAAGCATGGCTGCTTAATAACAAACACATAGAAGTGTATTCTTATGCATTTACTTGAAATTTTATTTACTTTGGTTGAAATCGGATAACCTCAATCAATGAAAAGATCAAAATTGGCATCTTACAATCTCTATTTAGTTCAATAACAACAAGGCTATTAGACATTTATGGAGAAAGTGACTGAAGGAAGAACTGACGTGAACATGAACATTTCAAAAGGAAGGGGTTTCAATTCTTAGAAGGCAACTTTATCCACATTTTACACAACCACTCACATATGAGCAGACATATATTAGCATTGAGATTTAAAATGAGACAATGATTGTACCTGCATTAGGATTCACAAAATAGCAAAGGTTCCCCATTGTTACAAAATGATATGAATTGGTAGAATCATCTAAGATCAGTAAATTTTAGTCAGAGGTCAAACAACACTAGGTTATAGTCCAACAGGTTTATGTGAAATCGCAAGCTTTGAACCTGCTGCTCCGAAAGCTTGTGATTTCAAATAAACCTGTTGGACTAGAACCTGGTGTTGTTTGACCTCTGACTTTGACCACCCTAGCCCAGCACGTCCACAACACTGTAAATTTTAGCCATCATTAAATGGTGTTGTGTTTTTATTAAGTTTTCCAGGGAATATCTGTACTTATGCAGATGGAAGCTAGCTCCTCGAAATCTCAGCACCTCAAATAACTGCTTACCTTCTTGTAGTTTGTGATCCTTCGGTTAATTTGCTCAAGCTTCTCACTGCGCATAACGCTGAATCTAGAATGCAGTTCGGGAGGCGTCACTTCATCTAAGCAGCTTAGTCTGCTGCAGTATTCTACAAACTGCTCATCATTCTCAGCGAAACATTCAAGGATCTATTAAAGAAATGGTCAATAGTAAATTGTAATTTGGAGCACATTCCAAACTGAGGAATGAAGGAAGAAGGAAGACATATCTAACAAAATTATATGCAACATGCTAAACCCTTGAGATAAAAGAACAGAATGTTTCCAACGATTCTCAGTAAGTGAGCTTTCATTACGCTACCAGTCAGTACAGTAAGAAGAAGCCACGTCAGTGCAACCACATATTCCTAGCATCTGTGCAGAGGAGAAGAGGTGCTTTTTACTTGCTTTTTTGCCTCATAGTTTGGAAAGTTTTTTCATTCATTTGTGGAACATGGGCATTGCTGGCTGGCCAGTATTTGTTGTCCTTGCCTAGCTGCCCCTGGCAGGCTTGGCCATTTCAGAGCCAGCCACATTGCTGTGGATCTGCAGTTACGTGTAGGCCAGACCAGGCGAGGGCGGCAGATTCCCTTCCCCGAAAGACATTAGTGAGCCATGTGGGTTTTTCTGACAATTGGCAATGGTATCATCAGTAGATTCTTAATTCTGGATTTTTTTTAATTGAATTCAAATTCCACCATCTTCCATGGTGGTATTCAAGGCCAGGTCCCCAGAACATGAGATGAGTTTCTGGATTAATAGTCTAGCGATATCACCTCCCTGTAACAGGATAAACTGAAGCACAGGATTTGGAGTCTATTACAAAGCAGAGTGACATCACACGAAAACCATGTGTTCATTGATTAGTAATAGCTGTTAATTTGACTATCTATTATAGGTTACTTTCAGATTGAAGGCAAATAGGGGAAATATTTACAGATTACGAACTAAAAGAGCAGTACAAAAGTTTAAGAAAACAAATTAAGACTTAAGTAAATAAAATAAAGATGCCAGGCCAGGCAATGTATTGTAACTGATATGGATACAATTACAATGTTTAAAATACATTTGAATAAATTAATGAATAGGAAAGATTTAGAGGGATATGGGCCAGGAGCAGGCAGGTGGGGCTAGTTTAGTTTGGCTTACATTTGGCATGGACTGGTTGGACTGAAGGATATGTGTTTATGCTGTCTGACTCTATGATGGACCCCATTCTGGTTCATAATGACCACATCTGCAGCAAATGTTGGTTGCTTGAGGAATTCTAGCTCAAGATTTGATGAGCTACAGTCTGAACTTTAAAAACTGCAACACATCAGGGAGGGGGAGAGTTACCTGGAGGCTGGGCTTCAGGAGGTAGGAACACCCCTTAGATTAACTACCTCAAATTCGGTCAGTGGTCAGGCCAGGAGGGTGTGATTATGAGCGAGGCAGGTAGAGGAATCCAGGAGGTAGTGCTGAAGGAGCCTCAGCCCTAAGCTGGTATAACAGGTTTGAGATGCTTGCTACCTGTGTGGATGAGACTGGGGGCAGTAGGGAGGATGAGCAAACTGACCATAGCACTGTGATACAGGGAGGCATTCAAGAGAGGGAGAAAATAAAAATGTAGTTGTAATCAGGAATAGTATAGTCAGTGGAATAGACACTACTATCTGTGGCCAGGATTGAGATTTTCGAAAGCTGTGTTGCCTGCCTGGTGCCTGGGCTCACGATATCTCATTTCCGCTGCAGAGGAACTTGGAGTGGGAGAGAAAAGATGCAGTTGTTGTGGTCCACATAGATACCAATGATATAGGTAGAAAAGGAAAAGAGGTTCTGCTGACAGAATACAAGCAGCTAGGGTCTACATTGAGTAGCAGAGCCAAAAAGGTAATAACCACCAGATTACTACCTGAGCCACAGGTTTGGTGCAGGGTCAGCAAAATTAAAAAGGTAAATGCATTGCTCGATGATTGGTGCGGGAGAAACAGGTTTGAATTCATGGGACGTTCACCACCAGAACTGAGAAGGAGGGAGCTGTTTTGATGCAAATTGCACAACTAAGGCTATAGATAGGGTTTTAAACTAAAGAGTTGGGGGAGGGGGATAGAATTATAATATCAGAGATAGAGGAGAAGATAGGATTGTTGGTTAGTGATGGGGTTGATTGTTAAAAGAAAGGGACAGAATGTATGAATGTTATATTATGCCAAGGAGCCATAAAAGTGTAGGGAAATTCAATAATAGATCGAACTTAAAGGTTTTGTATCTTAATGGATGAAGCATTCGAAAAAAGATAGATGAACTGACATTGCAAATCAAGGTATTATAAATGAATATGATCTCATAGCCATTACAGAAACATGGTTACAAGGGGATCAAAACTAGGAACATCATATTCAGTGATATTTGACCTTTCGGAAAGACAGGAGGAATGGAGTAAGTGATGGGGTAATAAGAAACAAAATGAGGATAGTTGTAAGAGACGATCTAGGCTCGGATGATGTGGAGTCCTTTTGGGTGAAGGTAAAAAGCAGCAAGGGAAAGAAGACATTGGTTGGAGTAGTCTACACACCACCAAATGGTAGCCACTCGGTAGGGAAGGTTATAAGTCAACAAATAATCAGAGCATGTAAAAAAAATAGAGCAATAATTATGAGTGACTTTAAGCTTCATGTTTATTGGATTAATCAAATTGGAAAGAGTAGTTATGACAATTAATTCACAGAGTGTATTTGAGATAATTTCCTAGAGTAATATGTCATTAAGTCTACCAGGGATCAGGCTATCTTGAATATGGTAGTGGGTAACAAGGCAGGTTTAATAAATGACTTCAGAGTAAAAGATTCCCCAGGAAGTAATGATCACAACTTGACTTTTTTCACTGAAGTGTAAGAGGTTGAGAGGTGACCTGATAGAAGTTTATAAAATAATGAGGAGTATAGAGTTAATGGTAGTTCTCTTTTCACTAGGGTGGGGGATTTCTAGACTAGGCACATTTTTAAGGTGAGAGGAGAGAGATTTAAAAAAAGACATGAGGGGCAAATGTTTCACACAGAGTGATTTGCATGTGGAATCAACTTCCTGGCAAGTAGTGGATGTGGGTACAATTACAAAGTTTAAAAGACATTTGGATAAGTACATTATTAGGAAAGGTTTGGAGGGATATAGGTCAGGAGCAGGCAGGTGGGACTAGTTTAATTTGGGATTATGTTTGGCATGAACTGGTTGAACCGAAGGGTGTGTTTCCATGCCGTATGACTCTATGACTCAAAGACAGAATTTAATATTCAGTTTGAGAGTGAGAAATTTGGGTCAGAAACAATTGTTTTTAACTTAAATAAAGGAAACTGCAACAAAATGAGGATAGAATTAGCTAAAATAAACTGGACGGACAGATTGGCAAGAATGACAGTGAGCAAGCAGTGGCAGACATTTAAGGAGGTCATTCATGACTTTCAGCAAAAACACAACTTTGTAAGGAGGAAAGACCATGGCCAACCAATGAAGTTAGGAAGAGTATTAACTTGAAATAAAACGTGCATAAGGAGGTTAAGGTCAATGATAGCCCCAAAGACTGAAATAAATTTAGAATCCAGCAAAGATAGTAAAGACAGAGAAAAGAAACAATGGGAGCAAACTAGTGAGGAATGAAAGATACTAACAGAGCTTCTTTAAATATATAAAAAGGAAGGGAGAGGTCAAAACAAACATAGACTCTTTGGAAAATGAATCTGGGAAGATCTGGCAGAGGAGTGCAACAGATATTTTGCATCAGTCTTTACGGTGGAAGATACTTTGAACAATGCAGTAATACTAAAGTATATGGGGAGGAATTACGTATCATTACCATCACTATCACTAAAAAAAAATGATACAAACTAACAGGGCTAAAGGCAATTACAATCCCTGATCCTGATGGCTTGCATCCTAAGATCCTAAAAGAGGTAGCTCAGAGATAATGGATGCATTGGTTATGACTTTCCAAAAATTGTTTGATTCTGGAGAAGTGCCAGAGGATTGGAAAACTACTAATGTGACACCCCTTTTTGAAAAGGGAGGAGGAATTTAAACTGTCAGGGAGCTGAGAGTCCTTGGAACACCTTGCCACAGACAGCTGTACATTTAAGGCTGAGATAGATAGATTCTTGGTCAGTAAGGGAATCAAGGGTTATGGGGAAAAGGCAGGAAAGTGGACATGAGTAATGTCGGATCAGCCGAGATCCTATTGCATGGTGGAGCAGGCTCAAGGGGCTGAATGGTGTACTCCTGTTCTTATTTCTTATGGTCCTTTGATGCCATAAACATAGTTGAAGTATTGGCTACTTAGTGATGTGGAAGCCATTGTTAAATAAGAATGAAGAGAAAAGGAAGTTGTGACAGTAGCCTGGAGGCAATGGTTTGGTATACCACTTGATTAATTCAATGACCTTCATCACTGGTGAGCCACAAGGATCTGTGCTGGATCCACTGCCTTTCATCATTTATATAAATGATTTGGAAGTGAACATAGGAGATGTGGTTAGTAAGTTTGCAGTTGACACTAAAATTGGTGGTGTGAAGGACAGCAAAGAAAAGTTATCTCAGAGTACAATGGGATCTTGATCAGATAGGCCAATGGGCCGTGGAGTGGGAGATGGAGTTTAATTTAGATAAATGTGAGGTGCTGCATTTTGAAAAGGCAAATCAGGGCAGGACTTATATTCTTAATAGTAAGGTCCTGGGGAGTGTTGCTGAACAAAGAGACCTTGGAGTGCAGGTTCATAGTTCCTTTAAAGTGGAGTCGCAAGCAGATAGGATAGTGAAGAAGGCATTTGGTATGCTTGCTTTTATTGGTCAGTGCATTGAGTAAATGAGTTGGGAGGTCATGTTGCGGCCATACAGGATATTGCTTAAGCCACTTTTAGAATACTGCATGCAATTCTGGTCTCCTTGCTATAGGAAGGATGTTGTGAAACTTGAAAGGATTCAGAAAAGATTTACAAGGATGTTGCCAGGATTGGAGGATTTGAGCTATCGCGGAAGGCTGAATAGGCTGGGCTTATTTTCCCTGGTGCGGCAGAGGCTGAGGGGTGACCTTATAGAGGTGTACTCGGTCATGAGGGGCATGGATAGTGTAAATAGACAAGGTCTTTTCCCCAGGCCAGGGGAGTCTAAAACTAGAGATTATAGGTTTAAGGTGAGAGGGAAAGATTTAAAAGGGATCTAAGGGGCACACAGAGGGTGTTGCATGTGTGGAATGAGCTGTCAGAGGAAATAGTGGAAGCTGGTACAATTACAACCTTTAAAAGGTATCTGGATGAGTATGTGACGAGGAAAGGTTTAGAGAGATACGGGCCATATGCTAGCAAATGGGACTAGATTAATTTAGGATATCTGGTCGGCATGGATGAGTTGGACCAAAGGGTCTGTTGCCGTGCTGCATATCTCCATGACTCTATGACTTTTTGAGGACTTGGAAAAGTCAGAAATGCATTATGATTTAACTATGGGGTAAAGGGGCAAATGCAGAAAAAGAATAAAACGGAACATTTGTGACAGGACAGGAAATAATAGAGATAATTGTCTTCTTAAGCAAAGGTATTAATGGATATGGATCAAAGGCAGCTGTATGTAGTTAGGCCACAGATCATCCAAAATCTCATTAAATGGTGGAACAGGCTCAAGGGGCTGAATGGCCTACGCATGTTCCTATGTTTCTAAATGACAAAGGAAATGGTAGTTCTTGAGCAAGGTAATGCGATCAGAAAGGAAATAAAAGATGTGGCTGGAGGAGGTATAAATGACAGTATTATAAACAGCTGCATATTTTTTAAAAAGTATAAAATAAAGACAAAACCCAAACGTGCAAAGGAAAAGTACACAAGATTTGCAGCCAAGATTTCGCATCAATATTGTTGAATTCAGTGCTGATTTTGGAATGCTCCAAAGTAGCTAATCATTGCAATAAAACAACAACACATTTTTACTGAGGTGTGAGATTCTGTGGACCATTATAAATGGCAGCTGTGAGCTAGATCTGCAAGTGTCATCCCATTTCCAATAGACCCCATTTTGACAATGGGGGAAGGGGGAGAATTCACAGATCAGGAAATGCCAAACTCAGCTGAATTATTTGAAATCAATTTTGAGCTGAAAGTAGAAGTTGTCTGGGAAAAAAAAAAGCTTAATTTTTTGATTAGTGTTTCTGGTCATTTGTTTCAAGAAAAATTCTAAAATGTTAAGTAGTTGCAAATGTTCTTTCAAATGTTTGTTTTGATTTATTGTACTTAAATATAGCGAAAAGCTTTGTTTTGTGAGCTGTACAGGCAGATCATAGCAAACAAGGACATACAGATCATTGGGTGCTTAGACAGAGTGAGGCATACAAGGTTTCGGCTACACAGGATGTGCACAAAAGCAAGGACAGCATTAGCAAGATCAACATTATTTGAAGTTAGAGAGATCCATTCAGCAGTCTAATATCAGCAGGGAAGAAACTGTTCTTGAACCTATTGGTGCGTGTCTTTAAGTTTCTGTATCTTTTGCCTGATGGAAGAGGTTGGAATAGAGCATTACCAGGGTAGGAGGAAGCTTTGATAATGTTAGCAGCCTAGAAGTTCAGATCTCTTTTCAAATTTATTGGTCTGGGCATGGAAATCATTAGAAAAATCATTAATATTTTTCATCTTCTTTGGAGGAAAACAATCTGACTCCTCCTTTGATCTCTAACAATCAAATGTCACAGGCTTACGTCAGGCAGACCACAAAGTGGCAATAAAATCCTCTACATTTATTCTACATTTGAAGATGTAGTCTCAGACCATAATGTAACCTTATAAAACTCGATTGTAACAACAAATTATTTCTGGTCCAGCAATTTCTCAACTTCCCACGATTAATTCCAACACTCCTACATTATTCACACATTTCTAGGATATTGCTTCATTTTTCACGTTTTCAATTACGGAATATTTCAGTAATTCCCCAGCATATCACTACTTCTTTATATTAGCTTTCAAACAGACAAATGGATGCACAGGCTTTCAGCCGAGAGTGCTTAATGAGGTTAAGTTGAAAGCCCAAACCTCCATTAGAGCATTAAAACAGCTGAACCCCAGGGAAAACAAAAAAGAGAACAAAACAAAGAACAATACAGCACAGAAACAGGCCCTTCAGCCCTCCAAACCTGTGTTGACATATTTTGCCCTTCCATACGAAAACTGTCTTCACTTACAGGATCCATATCCCTCTATTCCCTTCCTATTCGTGTATTCATCCAGGTGCTTCCTGAATGTTGCTATTGAGTCTACTTCCACCACCTCCTCTGGCAACACATTCCAGGCACTCACCACCCTTTGTGTGAAAAACTTGTCTCGCGCATCTCTTTTAAACTCTGCAGCCCCCCACACCTTGAACCTTTGGCACCAAGTAATTGACCCCTCCACCATGGTAAAAAGCCTGATACTATCCACTTCATCTATGCCATTCACAATCTTATAAACTTCCATCAGGTCACCCCTCAACCTCCTGTGTTCCAGTGAAAACAAACCCAGTCTGAAGAAGGGTCTAAGGCCGAAACGTCAGCTTTCCTGCTCCTCTGATGCTGCTTGGCCTGCTGTGTTCATCCAGCTCTACACCTTGTTATCCCAGTCTATCCAACCTTTCTTCATAGCTAAAATTCCCCATACCAGGCAGCATCCTGGTAAACCTTTTCTGTACCTTCTCCAAAGCATTATTTGGTTGCCAACAAACATAGAAGTAGCTGGAAAAACTCAGCAGGTCTAACAGCAGCTGTGGTGAGAAAGCAGATTTAATGTTTTGGGTCCAGTGACTCTTCAACAGAACTACCGAACTTGGTTGACAGGTCTGGCTTTCTGATCTCTGCGGTCAATTTTGTAATGTTTATTTACAGAAGCAAAGACTGGTACAGGACATGAGGAAACCATTCTGCCCATCATGTCTGCACTGGCTCTGAATGAGCACTTCACTTAATAATTCCCTCAAATCTTGCTTTCTTCTGCATGCACTTCTGATATCCATGCATGGCTGTAACTTCTGAGGCCTGAAGTCAACGCGTAGACCTTTGGAGAGGCTGCATGGCCAACACATCTTAGAGGGAACAATGATTAGTGCTTTATTTTGTTATTCATTCATGGGATGTGGGTGTCATTGGCTAGATCTCCATTTATTGTCCATCCTTAATTGTCTTGAAGGTATGAGCTGCCTTTGGAACACTTGTGGTGTAGTGGCACCCACAGTGTCATGAGGAAGAGAGTTCCAGGATATTGACATAGCAACTGTGAAGGAATGACATATATTTCCAAGTCAGGATGCTGAGAGGCTTAGAGGGGAACTTGCAATGGTGCAGTTCCCACATATCTGCTACCCATAATTTTCCAGGTGGCAGAGATTATGGTTCCGGTGGTTGCAGTTCAAACGGTCTATGCTGAATTGACACAATTTATCTTATCTACGTAAACTTGCCATATTGTTAATACCTTCTGAACTAGAGGCATAGAGTCATAGAACATGACTCATAGAGTCATAGAAACACACCCAGCAATATCACAACACCTTGCCTTTACACTTCTCAGGATCTGGATAAGGAACTCTTGTATTGGAACAAACTTCTGTGCTTCCCAAATTATTGGTACCTATGTGGTAATCTACCTGTACAAGCATCATAAACTCATAATACTGGACTCCTCCCTACTAAATAATGAAACCAGTCATTTAATCTGTGCATGGACACATGAATGTTCCCAGCTTTCTCCACCAACATAACTCTTTCCATCTCCCCCACTATTCTTATGAAAGTTGTACCAATTATTTGAGGCATCCTATATACCCATCAATGTTGGGTACCAATCTCCAGAAGAGCAGAGAAAAGAATAGGCTTGCTGCCCAACCACACAAAATATATAGCCACTGAGGGCTGTGAAGCCATGTCATTGAGTGCCTTTGAGGCAGGGATAGATAGGTTCTTGATTAGTAAGGGGATCAAAGGTTCTGGGGAGAAGGCAGGAGAATGGGGTTGAGAAACATATCAGCCATGATCAAATGCCAGAGCAGGCTTGATGGCTTGAATGGTCTAATTCTGCTCCTACATCTTATGGTCTTATAGTTCATATGCCCATCTTTCACATTAGTTGTTGACAAGCTAATTCTTCTTGAAGAAGTTTATTTGTTAGACACACATGAATTGTTACAAATGTTTTCCTTAATATTTCTAATCATACCTTTGCAGTTAGGTTGAAAAATCCCTTCGGCTCACTCATTTTTTCCAGAACATGGCACTTTGTTCCAGCAGTGCTGTCATATTCATATACAACACCATATTCCAAATGTACATTATCTACTGTTAGGCTCACATGGTCCTTCTTCCCATCAATTAAAGCCATTGTATTAAACTTATCGAAGACTTCTAGAGGAAAAACAACACTATGTCAACCCAACATCCTTTTACTTCAAAACAAAACAAAATAGACAATCTACTTCAATTAAAACGTGAATACATATCAGTAATATACTTTCTGGTTTTATGAACAGTCAAATCTGCTTGTACTTTTACAATACAATTAACATGTCACAACAACAATGTAAGTTCTGAGGAATGGTCAGCAAACCCAAAACATTAACTCTTTTTTTCCTTCACAGACGCTGCCAGACCTGCTGAGCTTTTCCGACAACTTCTGTTTTTGTTCCTGATTTACAGCATCCGCAATTCTTTTGGTTTTTACAATTAATATGTCCCTAGATTTTTGAAACCAAAACTGAAATTGCTGGAAAATCTCAGCAGATCTGGCAGCGACCTTTCTTCAGAACTGATGGAAGCTTGGAAGAGGATGGATTTTATAGAAAAGATGGGGTGGGGGAATACAGTGGACTAGTTGCTAATAATGTGGTCTCCTCTATGTAGAGGAAACAAAGTGGAGACTGGGTAACTGCTTTGCAGAACACCTACATTCTGTCTGCAAAAAAGATCCTGAGCTTACAGTTGCGTGCCACTTTAACACACCACCCTGTTCCCTGGCCAAAATCTCTGTCTCAGGCTTGCTGCAGGGTTTCAGTGAAGCTCAGCACAAGCTGGAAGAACAGCACCTCATTTTCCATTTGGGAACCCTGCAGCATTCTGGACTTAATATCAAGATCAACAATTTTAGGGCTTGAACATCTTTCCCCATGCTTTCCCCAACCCCCTACAGGCCAGGCCTCGTCATCACATGAGCTGCTACCACACTTGTACCCATTGTCAGTGGCTCAGTGGTTAGCACTGCTGCCTCACAGGGCCTGGGACTTGGGTTCGATTCCACCCTCAGGTGACTGTCTGTGTAGAGTTTGCACATTCTCCCTGCAGCTGCATGGGTTTCCTCCGGGTGCTCAGGTTTTCTCCCACAGTCCCAAGATGTGCAGGCTAGGTGGATTGGCCATGCTAAATTGCCCATAGTGTGCAGGGAAGTGTAGATTAGGGGAATGGGTCTGATTGGGATGCTCTGAGGGTCAGTGTGGACTTGTTGGGCCAAACGGCCTGTTTCCACACTGTAGGGATTCTACGAATAGTCCCCATTAGCAGCTATTTATTCTCCAAGACTGACCTTAAGCAATTCCTTTGTCTGTCCAACTGTTCTTCTCTCTCTTTGGGCTCTATCTCACCGTATAGTTTGCTCTCCCCCTTCCCCCAGTCCATCTTCTGCATAAAAGCCATCCTTTTCCTAGCTACCATCGGTTCTGAAGAAGGGTCACTGGACCCAAAACATGAACTCTGATTTCTATCCACAGATGCTGCCAGAGCTGCTGATATTTTCCAGCAATTTCTGTTTTTGTTTCTGATTTCCCGCATCCGCAGTTCTTTGAGTTTTTTTTTGACAAAAGCAGAATCATGGGTTTATGGTTTTATAACTGTTTTAATACCTCAGGATAGAACAAACATTGTGGTCAAGAGACATAGTTTTATGGAAGGACAAATATTCATCCTGACTCTTTGAAGTGAAACAATTTGGTTTGAGGCTAACTTAGTTTCTTAATTCAGTACTTTAAAGAGAAAGTTACTTTTTTAACAGGTCTGTATACAGCAAAATTACTGTAAATAGTCCTGTGGATATTTTGATACATATTTACTGAATGTATTACATCGAATAATTTGTGTATATTTTGTTATCTCAGTTTTAACATACCAGTTGTCTGATGATTTCTGGACAGAATGTGCATAGATTTTTATGTTGGAGTAACTGCACTCTTATTATTTTTAGTTAACTTCTTTCAGGGATCAGGCTCAGGCCTCTGAATCTGAATGAAGCCACACATTGATAAATGATTCTTTTAGATAAGATCTATCAGTAGCTTCTTGTACTCTCTAAAACAGCTGATGTGTCAATTAGACATTCAGGACATGACACTGCGTATTCTTTTATCTCAAGCAAGCAGACATACAAATTACATAGGTGGTGTCCCATTATCTTAGTAGAAATCCATAAAGTTATCAGGGAAAAAGCAGGATAAGGAGATGATCTCTTATGTGACTGACATTATGGGAACCAGTCAGGAAATAACAGGAAGTGATATCACTCAGATGATCATCACTCTGAGCAAAACTTATCAGGAATTGGACACTCACTGTTCAGCCGACCCAGGACTGATCATGCGCTATGCGTATGCTGGTAAGCCATTTAAAGTTCAGACATGCCGCTGACCATGCACTAGATTAGTGCCAGCAAGGGTTAATAATCATTGACTCATAGCAGACCAGTGCACAACAGAAAGAAGTGAGTTAGACCTCGGTGAATGCGACATAAAGAAAGACAAGCACCAGTCAGGGTTAAGTCGACATCTGGTATTCCAACGTAAATCAGCTGGAATCACTGCCTTATTAAGTATAATTTCCTATGTACACATTTTTTAAACTTGATAAATTCTGTGAAACTTGTTCAATCAAAAAGTGTCTTGTCCCGAAACAACAGCTTTCCTGCTCCTCTGACGCTGCTTGGCCTGCTGTGTTCATCCAGCTCTACACCTTGTTATCTCAGATTCTCCAGCAGTTCCTACAATCTCTGTAACAATCATATCCAGAATGTTTCTGTACTTAGTCAAACCTGGAAGACCTTTAGACTAACTGTCTTTATTCACTTGTTATTTGTAACTGTAAATCTTTGATCAATTAAAGTTAACTCAAACACTCTAGGCTCTACAATTCCTTCTGTAAGGTTGGCCTCTTTGGAAATTGACCACATGCCATTTGCACATTATGCAAACTTAATGTCATCATAGGGTGCATCAAAGTTGTCCTGTGGGATAATGGATACCCCAATCAGATCACTGCACACTGTTAAGCATGGAAACTCATGAATGGGTCTAAGGCTGCCACTTGCACTCCTGAAAAGTGCTGAATCTATCTGAGATGACCATGGAAAGGTAAGGCATTTCAAAGAATTGAGCAACAAATCTGAAAGAACTGCACAGATGCCGGTATCCCATCACCAAGTCACCCTTTATTTACATGTGCATTGTACATGGGCTCTGACCAGCCAGCTCGGAGGCAGTCCCTGAAGTGAAGAGACTCCTAATCTCCTGTTTATATTTGTCAGCCAGGGCTCCCTGATTACTCCAGGTTAACAACCCTAATTAAGGATCCCATAATCAATAAGATCCACCCAGTTCAAATCACAAGATCAAATTAGCCATTTCATGTTGCTTCAACACAAATGTTATTCTCAAGTAACAAGTCTCTGTCTCCAAGTGAAAAAGATGTTCTGATTACCACGCAAATGAGTAATGTGATATATCCATGTCAGTGCAGGTGTGATGCCATGTATTTAGGCCCGAGGTTTGAATGATGGGTGCACGGCATCAAACAGCATGTCCCTTCAGGATCTGGAAGCAGGAAGATTATTGATTGTACTCAACTAGCCCGTGTTTGCAAAACTCACAACATAGTGTTTCACATGAGGTATGATTCTGTGCGTAGACAACATTTGCTAAACAATCCTGACTGTACTAGAACAATATGAAGATTATTCACCAGGCTCAGTTGCAGGTGCTAGTAGCTACATATATTCACATGCAGGGTCCTATCCCTTCCAAGTAGAAAGAACATGACATGTAATGTTACCTTTTGAGATCTGATACTCCTCTAATTTATTTTCTGCAAATTCATTAACAGGATGAGGGAATCACTGTTAGGCTAGTCCATCCCTAACTGCAGTTAAGAGTCAACCACATTGCTGTGCGTCTGGAGTCACATGCAGGCCAGGCTAGGTTAGGAAGGCAGTTTCCTTCCCTAAAGGGCATTAACCTGATCTTTTTTTCCAACAATCTTTTCATGGTCATCATTAGACTTTCAATTCCAGATTTTTGCTGAATTCGAATTCTACCATCGACCGTGGCAAGATTTGAATTCAGGTCCCCAGAACATTACCTGGGTCTCTGGATTAACAGTCCAGCAACAATACCACCAGGTCATTGCCTCCCATTGTCCCGACAGTAGAGGCAAAAAAATCAGAGTCATACAGCATGGAAACAGACCCTTCGAACCAACTAGTCCACACCAACCATGTTCCCAAACTAAATTAGTTCCCACTGCCTGCGTTTGGCGCGTATCCCTCCAAACCTTTCCTATTCATGTACTTATCCAAATGTCTTTTAAATGGTGTAACCCTATCTGCATTTAACACTTCCTCTGGCAGTTCATTCCATGCACAAAACATTGTCTGTGTAAAAAATTTGCCCTCATGTCCTTTTTGAAACATCCTCCTCTCACCTTAAAAATATGTCCTCCTAGTTTTGAACTCCCCCATGCTAGGGAAAAGCTCATTGCTATTTACCTTATCTGAGCCCCTCACGATTTTATAAGCCTCTATAAGGTCACTCCTCAATCTCCTACGCTCTAGTGAAAGAAGTCCCAGCCTATTTTCATAACACAAACCTTCCATTCCCAGCAACATCCTGGTAAATCTTTTCTGAACCCTCTCCAATTTAATAGCACCCTTCCTATAACAGGGTGACCAGAACTGCATACATACTCCAGAAGAGGCCTCGACGTGACATTCCAACTCATATACTCAAAGGTCTGGGCAATGAAGGCAACCATGCTAAACACCTTATTAACCACCTGTCTACCTGTGCTGCAAATTTCAAAGAATTATGTACCTGAACTCCTCGGTCTCTCTGTTCTATAACACTACCCAGCAACCTCCCCTTGTTTGTTTGACCAAATGCAATACCTCACATTTATCCAAATTATACTCCATCAGCCACTCCTCAGCTCATTGACCCAATTGATCAAGATCTCTTTGTAATCTTAGGTAACCTTGTTCATTGTCCACTATATCATCAATTTTGGTGTCATCTGCAAACTTATTAACTACGTCTCCTATATTCTCATTGAAATCCTTCATATAAATGACAAACAAAAGTGGACCCAGTACTGATCCCGGTGGAACACTGCTAGTCACAGGCCTCCAGTCCAAAAAACAACCATCCATTACCACACTGTGACTCTTACCATCAAGCCAATTTTATATCTGAAATAACTCCAGAGCGGCCAGTATTCTGTCACCAAGTCACCCTTTAGATACACATGGAAAGTCCTTGGTACTGATCCAGCTCCCTCAGAGCCAGCTCTCAAAGTGAACAGGATATCTGATGCTCCTGTTTAGATCTGTCAGCCAGGGCTCCCTGATTGGACCAAGTTAATAGCCCTAATCAGGGAACTCATATTTTATGAGATCCACCCGGCTGACCTTGTTACAATCACTACAGTATCCAATTGGCAAGCTCACCATGAATCCCATGTGATCAAACTTTACTAATTAGACTACCATGTGGAATCTTGTCAAAGGCTTTACTAAAATCCATATAGATGACAATGTTTCAATGATGCAATATAATGCATGTCGCCGATACATATTCTAAGACAAATTCTGGCAATAATTGTCACATGTTGTAAGTACATTTTGAAATAGGTTACAAATAAAATGCATGTTTACACTAACAGAAATCCCAATTTTCTTATTTATATTCAAATGTTAGCCCTTCATTTAAAGTACACTCATATTTAATTTTTATAGTTATTTAATGATGCAAGTTTCTATTCAGTACAATCATTTTTTAAAACCGCATGACCCCATATATTTTCCAATGAAATGGAAAGGATCTGTCACCAGCAGGGAACTGAGAGTTGGCAGGAATATCAAAGTCCTGGCTAATCTGATAGCAGAAATTAATTATAGTTTGTTCATTTCTCTTCCTTCTCTACAGCCAATAAGCTGCGAGACTGGTAGTGAGGTGCCCAATGCTGTGAAACGTGGAACTGAGAAGACTGGGAAGTGATTTGGGTGGGAAAATGAGGTTCAGAGCATGGCAGCAATAAAGGACAACAGGTCACAGAGTCACAGAAGTAATCAGCAGATGCTATGTGTTGTCAGGAAGATGTAGGCCTAGGAGGTTCTCAAAGTGGGGAGACATCATCTCGAGGGAGGGGTGGTGAGCCAATAGCAGTAGGGTAGCAGTTAGCTGTGGGTTGGGAAAGGTGGAGTGAGATAATGGGAAGTGGGGGGATTATAAGGTGTGGTGAGTCATCTAGATATTCCATCACAGGGAGAAAGAAAAATCACAGCACACACTTGCCTTAAATGACATGGAGGAGTATTCCTTAACTTTCTAGTTCCCTAACTGGTGGGAAAACAAATTTGATTTATTATTATTGTCATATATACCCAAGTACAGTGAAAAGTTTTGCTTTGCATGGTATGGGCAGATTCTAACATACAAAGACACAAAGATCGCAGGGTGACTGAACAGAGTGACGAATACAAAGTTACAACTGCAAAGAAAGTGCACCAAAAGCACGATCAATATTTTGAAATTTGAGAGGTCTAATAACAGCAGAGAAGAATGTGTTCTTGAACCTTTTGGTACATGTATTTAAACTTTTGTATCTTCTGCCTGATGGAAGAGGTTGGAAGAGATTATAACCAGGCTGGGAGGGGTCTTTGGTGATGTTGGCTGCCTTTCTGCAGCAATAAGAGGTGTAGATGAAGTCAATGGATGGAAGGTTGGCTTGCGTGATGGACTGGGCTGTGTTCACAACTCTCTGTAGTTCCTTACAGTCCTGGGCAGAGCAGTTGGCGTACCAAACCGTGATGCATCTAGATAGAATGCTTGACATGCTCCTCTTTAGCAGCTACACCTTAAAGCTGATGCACAGTCATTAAATTACCACTAAAATTTGAGGCAAAGAATCTGTTTATTACCAGGCAATTATTGCAGATTATTCATCTGTCTTGGCTGAGCCTGAAGCAGGCATACTAGTTCCAAGGGGAAGTCACTCATGTGAAATGTTATTTTCTTTTCTATCTATAGATGCTATCTCATCTGCTGAGTATTTCCAGCATTTCTGAGTCTTATTTCAGATTTCCATTAGCCACAGTGCTTTGCCTTTGTGAGGAGATTAGGGTTGGGTTACCCATTCTTAACAATTTTACCCCCAACCTCTGTTGGCAGGGATTGGGCACTGTTTAAATTGCCTTCAGTGCCACTATATTTGAAAATTAACTACTATTGCTCAGTTCTGCTTTTCACTCAGAGTTTTGAAATGAGAAACATATACCGGTTTTACCTAAAATATTATTTTCCTTCTTTTAATCTGGGACATATTGAAATAAAAATAAAATGATGATCTGTTTAATTCTGTAACTCTAATTGTGTTGGTACATTTTGATAGTTGTTGGATACTCAGAAAGATATGATAACCTGACATCATGTACAGTGAAACAATCAGTTCAGCAAAGTCACGGCAAAGGTCACTGAGGATATGGCGTCAGGCAGAACAATGCAGATATTCAACTGAATTCAAATACATAAATTCAATGTGTTTGTCCTTCCTTGTACATGAAATCTAAACAGAAGGTACAACATTCAAGAAAAAAGAATTATCTTTTCCTACTGATGACAGATCTAAACAAATAGCAAAATGGTGCAAACTTCACAAAATAGCGTATTTTACTTAACTGTTCACTCAATCTTAGTATCTATTAATTTAGGCTACAGTTTGAACAGGGGAAGTGAGGACAATTGCAGATTTATGAATCAAAATGGTATGTTTGTGTTATGGCTCAGGGTCAATATTCCTTAAGAGGAATGCTTATGATATCAATAATCATCACAACATGTGACGCGAGGCTTTAAAATCCTCCTACTCCATCTTACCACGGATCACTTGAAGTATGACACTCTAATAAAAGCTGCCTTCCATTGCAAACTCATAGCTTGATATTAGACCAGACACTGTATACCAGAGGAATGTAATCTTTGTACATAATAGTTTTAATAAACGTCTTTTGGATTCTTCAATACCATAATAACCAAACCCAAATATCTTATGTTTTGGGAGATAACATAAGAATTGCTCATCATAGGAACATAACACTGCGTCTGCACAATAACTTTTTTTAAGAATCTCTACAGCGTGGAAGCAGGCCATTCAGCCCACTGAGTCCACACTGACCTTCCAAACATAAATCACACTCCCTCGCTGTATAACGTTGCATTTCCCATGACTAATCCACATCCCTGGACACTATGGTCAATTTAGCATGGCCAATCCACCTAACCCACACATCTTTGGACTGAGGGAGGAAATCAGAACACCTGTAGATACGAGGAGAACGTACAAATTCTACCTGAGGGTAAAACTGAACCTAGGTTCCTGGTGATGTGAGGTAGCAATGCTAATCACTGAGCTACCATGTCACCCAGACTCAAACCTGCAGGAGCTTAAGTGACAGTATGAAGTAGATTCTGAACCATGCTGTCTGGGACATCAAACTAATGATAATACCAAAAGCAAACATTCTCTATCCGAAAAGTTATAGCAGTAGTTAAACTATTAGAAGATGGTCACTATTAAGATAATGCTGTTCATCAACTGCCATACTATATAAAGATAGCAATAAACTCAAACTGCTGACACACATACTCGTAAATCTGTATTCAGTGAAACAGCAAGACACTTTGAGACCTATAACTATGAGGCTGAATTCCTTTCAGTGTTGCTCAATCATTGGCAGGGTTATCTGAGGAATGGCAATTTCATGTCAATTGCCACTTGGCCCTTCCTTTTCTTTAACCATAGAAGTGAGCACTGCATTTTTGTGAGAGGAGGGCCAATTGGGTCTCCCTAAATGCAGAGAGGTACACCGAATCTGAGAGCTCTCTCGAAGAGGAAGGCACGCTCCTTTTTAGATATTAGTCAGATCGGGAACCAGGAGGGGTAGGAGGGCCAGATGAATAGAATGCCAGCTGGGGAGGGGACAAGGGCCAGAGATGGATGCTGGAAGTGGGAGGTGGGGTATCGCTCAGGGCAGACTCAGTAGCAGTGGTGGGAGCACTCTGGTTCTGGAAGGGTGTTCAGCATATTTGAGATCAGAGGTTTTGGGCCCGGTGAGTGTGGGATTGGGGAACCAGGGATGGGGACAGAGGTCAAAAGCAAGGGAGGGAGGCCTTCACCTCCGGGATGGTGTCAGTGGTACACTGGAGATGTACTTAGGTGTATGTGAGAGGTAAGTATGTGGTCACTTTAATAGTTACTCGGGAATTAGACCACATATTGAATAATCTAAAATTTCCCGAGTACCTATTTCACTTAATTTCGGCAGAACCCTCTGATGTCTCCGGTTTTGAAGGACACTTTAGTGGGTTCCCAGTCTGGACGAAATGCCCAGTGGAAAATTCATTTTCCCCACAATTCCTTCCAAGAGTGTTACAACGGGAATTCCATAGGGTTCCCATGCATAACTCCCAGCCACACTGAAATAATGATTGTCTGGCCATCAGAAATTCTGGGACCATACCTCAGAAAGGAATAAGTACAGAAAGACTGCAGATTGGCAAATTGGCTCAGTGGTTAGCACTGCTGCCCCATAGTCCAAGGGACCTGCGTTCAATTCCAGCTTTGGCCAACTGTCTGTGTGGAGTTTGCATGTTCTCTCTGCATCTGCATGGGTTTCCTCTGGGTGCTCTGGTTTCCTCTCACAGTCCAAAGATGTGCAGGTTGGGTGGATTGGCTGTGGGAATGCAGGGATAGGGGTCAGTCTGGGTGGGACGCCTTTTGGAGGATTGATGCAGATTGAATAGCCTGCTTCCACTCTGTAGGGATTCAATGAACACTGTATCTGTGAAGAATGTCATTTATTTGCACTCACAGATCATTTTATTTAAAACAGAGATGAAGGATTACTTCCACTAGAAAAACTGTGAAGTTGTTTGAGTTAGTTTTGAAATATAACGAAAAAATTCACATTGTGCAAACTGGAAGCAAGAGTGCCTTTAAAGCGTCACCCACAAATAATATCTAACTCAGACATACCTTCATTAAATCCATCTTGTTCCTCGCTTTCCCCAGAGGGTGGGGTCTTTAAAATGGTTTTCTGCAGCTCCTCCTGGGCACTTTCTGTGTTGTTGTAAACCCATTGAACAGAGTCTTGCTAATATAACCAGAAGAGAAATAGAACATGATTGCAATTCCTTTTATCACTTTTATTCCACACTTCACGATTGATTGTTGTTGCAAGATAACACCTTTAAAAGCAGAGACGCTGAGTCAAAGTGAAAAAGAGGAAATCTGCATATTTCGTTTTTCTTAACTTGTGGCAATGTGGAAAATGTTCAGGACAAAGACATTCACTTTCCATTCACTTTGTTTTTCATGTAAGAGGAAAGCCTATGTTATCATGAATTATTTTCCAGTTGGTAACTCATAGAGCCATAGAGTTGTATAGCATGGAAAAAGATCCTCTGATCCAACTCGGCCATGCCAACCAAATATCCTAAATTAATCTAGTCCCATTTGCCAGCATTTTATCTATAAACCTCTAAACCCTTCTATTCATGTACCCACCCAGATTCAGTCCATCCTAACTCAGCTCAAGTAAAAGCACATCTCAAGAACATTGGCACGCATTCATCTAAGTATGCAACCTGTTGAAAGGAAAGGAATATTAACCAAGGTTTCTGCATTTAAGAGCCAATGGTCTTCATCAGGCTTCCAGTTGACCAAGGTGCACTGTGAAGATTTTCTGATGGGTTCTATGTAAATAGCCTTATATGAATAAAAATTGTATTTAGTATTTTGGACCGACTGAGCAAGGGGCTTCAGATCCATTTTTCTGAAGAAGGGTCTAGGCCCGAAAGGTCAGCCTTCCTGCCCCTCTGATGCTGCTTGGCCTGCTGTGTTCATCCAGCTCTACACCTTGTTACCTCTTTGCTTCAGATCCATTCCCTATTAAGCATGTAGATAAAATGTTCCTTGCATTCTTTACCTGTTCCGCTAAATACAACTTGTACATGATATTGCATATTGCAATAAAAATACTTAACATGCCCAGAAGGAAAATAAAGCACAATGCTTAAACACCATCATGTTTTGTGCCTGATGCTGTTTTTTTAACCTCTTTACAGTTGTAACAGTATTATGCAAAAACCTCAAATTAATAGTTGCACATTTGAGATAGTTCCTTTCCAGTTCTATTTCCTGCAACAAAATAATAAGGTATCTTTCATGCAACCAGTCTCCAGATAAATTTTCCATCATTTTTATCTGTAATTTATTACCATTCCCCAGACAGGATATCCCAAATTGTCAAACTCCCAGGTGATGAGGGGCTGAACTGGCTCCCTTTATTTGTCCACCCACCTTCTTGGTTGGTCACAACAAGGTTAATTTACAAAAGGGCACTACCCTTGTGTTGCTTTTCTCCCAGACCACGTGCATTTGTGCTTTAAAAGAAGGCAATTAAACCATGGCTGTCTTCAGTTAATGAAAGAGAGAGTTCATTAGTTACTAAATACAATAAGGAGTAATTACACAACACAGATTAGAAATGAGAAATGAGTCCAAAAGAAAGATAAATGTGAAAATTACACGGATCAGTCAACAGGTTGTTAATCAAGACAATTTTACGTCTTTGTGGGCAAGAATATTGGGTAATACGCATAGCATCAGTAGCTGAGCAGCTTTTCAGGTTAGATGAAGTTCTTTTATCTATGACCTTCATAGCATAGAGGAGTCCACTAACACAGATAAACACAACAGGATTGTAATAAGTTTTCAACGCCTATTCTTGTGTATTTCTAAGAGGGGAAAACATAATATGTCCACAATTTAAGATATAGTCCACAGGAGATGGCTCTCTGCACAAGTCAGGGCAGGGGTGGAAGGAGGCAAGTGTGGGGACAGTGACAATAGTCTGTAATCACAGGAGATCCAGGTGGTTTTGATTTGTCACTCTATCTTTAAAATGGTGCAGTTTAATGTTCTCTTGACACCATCAGGTGTGACAGTCCAGGGTTCTTCTCAAAACACAGCTACTGAATTTACACCCAGTCATTTTTGGCTGTACATTGTCCTTCATAAACCACATTTTGTAATTCAAAGTTTAATATGTCTGCAATACCTCAAAGTTCTGATCCACCACCATGACATTTCTAAGTTATAATTTCATTCAATCCTTGTGATTGTATTAAGTTTTCGGTGCACTTAATTTGCTAAATTCTGATTAGAAGACCAAAGTCTATTAGGAATAGCTAAATATTTACTAATTAACACACATACAGATTTATATGTGATCCCAGACCTCTACCATACAATGCCTATGTTGCCCACAAAGACATAAAATCTTTCTTCCCAAAATGTAAAGAGAACCCTAATATCCTTAGTAGACTTTTTTTAATTAGTTTGCTAAAGATGTTAAGATGATGAAGTGACTTACTTGAGACGGGCGCTTGTATTTGCGACAGGCTATCACATGTGCAATAACACTTGCATGACTCTCTTTGCTGACGTTAATCCCATTTACCTTGATGATGCATTGTCCAGGATGCAGGCCAGCAACAGCTGCCACGGTTCCTGTACATTAGCAAATAAACGCCATTTGAACAAATGCTGCTCACAGCTGATCTTGGTGCCTTTTTTCTCAGACAAATGAAATGGATATTATTAGCCATCATTTCTAGTTGCCAAAACAGGAAACTGTCGGCGTTTGTCTTCTAACTGATAGCAAATTCTGATATTCGCACATGCAATGGCTAAAATCTAGAAGGTGTCTCTTTCTCCACATGGTACGCTGTTGCAGCCTTTGAAAATGCAGTCAATACAATCTCCAATTCACTGAATAGCCCTATTGAATAAGGTGTAATTGGGTTTTTAGACGTATACTCTGTCACAACTATTACTGAACAATCTGTCCCTGACACACTCATTTTAAAAGTCTAGAATTCACTCTATTCCATGAGTAGATTCCATAGATAGTTAAAAAAATTAATTTTTCTTTTAACGTATTTTCTTAAAGGTTTTTAGTATTTCAGTTGCTGCCTTAGTCTGATAAGTATTTGACAATCTTTTATTTTCCTCTCTGAAAAATGACTTAAAAGCGAAAGATTATTACATTCTGGTTTGCTGCCCAGTAGAATTATTCAATCTCTGTGGCTGATCAGTACATGTTTGTCATCAACCTGTTTGAATATCTTATAACACATCTCTGGGACAGTGCAACTAGAACTTTTTGCCCAGGAGTAGGGACACCAACATTGTGCTACCAATCCCTCTGAACACCCTCTTTGATGACTCCAGTGTTCCTGGATAACAAAGATCCCCAATAGATTGATCCAGAACAAAAGTGACATCATAATATTGGGAAATCAATGCCAGAGAGCCAACTATATTTGTGAAAAACGTTTTTCAAGCCAACAGTAAGCACCATCTTTTCATACTTGACTGAAAAATTCAAGGCAATATATATTTTTTCTCTATCTGGAGAGAATACTAACTGTTAATGCAATATTACACAATGATTTAATGAATATTATTCCTTTCATCTTATCAACAATAAAATGCCAGTGAGTGCTAGAAAGTTACAGCAGGCAATTCACTAAGAGTGATCATTTAGAAAACTTATGCAGGATTTATATTAATACCAACATAATTCTCTTTCTATCATTGTTGTTTTCACAACTATTACAATACCCTACATTCCTAAAAAAAACTCAATTATAAATATAGAGGATGTAAAGAAGGTAACAAGTATAAAATTTCAACTTATATCCTAACCACAAGGCTTGATAAAGCAGAGAGAGTCAGTCATTCTGGTCAAATGTAAGCAATGAAAATGAACTTGTTAATATTATTTTAAAAATCTGGTATAGCTTCATATAAAATACCCACGGTAGAATTTGATAGTGGAACTAGTGGGTGAGACAACACAATATAGAGACTGACAGTTACCTAAAAGGCAGGAACATAAGGAATATAAATAATCAGAAGCTGATTAAAAAGTCACTTCATCCATCAAATGTGTAATTATGCAAAGCCTAATCAGAGATGGAAAAGGAAAGAAAGCACAATGTTTGAAAAATAGATAATAGAAAACATGCTTTTCATCTCAAAATACATTTAGTGTCAAATTTTGTCTGATTAGACTTTTCTGTGAAGCATCGAAGGACATATTGTACAATAAGAAAGTAGTATAAATGCAAATTGTTGTTACTGTTTTGAACAGACTGAGAGGAGCTCTCGGAGCTGTTCGTGTTGATCGAAGTGACCATTTGTACTTCAATCTAATGCAGGATTAGAAAAATGATGTTTTCTAATCAACCTGCTCAGAGATGTTATTACACACCTCTGGAACATATGGGACTTGAATCCAGGCCTCCTAGCTCAATATTACCACTTCATCACTGAATGCAGATTTACGAATATGTGCATCAGATCTGATGCAATCAGACTCTGATGTAATCTGCCAAATTAATACTTGACTCTTGGCCCTATGCACCTTTTGCTGCCTGTTCCAGCAGGATACATCACTGAAGACAGGCAGGCAGACAGGGAGTGAGTGAGATTCCAGTGCTTTGTTACATCGTGGACTGAAGTCTTATCCCTGAAGGTATGCCTTCAGTCCATTAGCTGATGATGTTTTAACTGGAGCTGACAGTCTTTGAGACTGCACAGCCTCACACTAATATCAGTGTTAACCAACCAAAACCCCACCACCACCATCACCACCCCAGCCCCCCAGATCTCCTCTGCGCTATATTCATCCGCCTCCTTCACACCACACCAACACTTAGATCCAACTCCACAACCTGACACCACCTCCCTCTCCAGCCAGCATTATTTATACCCTGGCTCATCCCACAAAAATGCTCGGCACCCCCTACTCCCACCAGCCCCCACTCCCACTTCCCCCATTTCGCACACCCCTTGGAAACACTGACTTTCCAACATCAGCAGGCAAATAGAACTAGTTTAGCTTGGGAAACCCGGTCGGCATGGATGAGTTAATGAAAGGGTCTGTTCCCCTGCTGTATGACTCTAGGACTCTATCAGGCAGACAGCGGGGATTCTGGAAGATTGTAGCGTGATGCCATCCAAGGTGTTGAAGAATTGCACACTTCAAAGAGGAATCCAAACACACAAGGAGCTAACCCCTATCCTGCATGACCTAAAATCATCCAACACCTTCCAAAAGAACAGACACTGAAATAATACCGACCAGGGAAAGATAGGGCAATGGCGCAACAAGGTGTTCACACATTACTCTGGGGGCCTTGGTCAAGGAGATGTAGACAGACAGATACCATCTATTCACAAGGCACCAGGGTATTCCAGAGTAACTCTAAGGTTGGAGAAGCTGAGAATTTGTTAAAGTCACTTCAAGAATTATGCATTTTCACATGCTGCCATTTACTAAGTACTAACCACGTACACTCCTCAGTCAACTACAAGGCAATCATTCATTAATCAACAACTGGGACTTAGCTTTGATTTATCCTCACACAAGTAACATTGCTAACACATATGTACCCGAACAGATCCAAGTTTGGGTTCTGCCAGCGCCGCTCAGCTCCTGACCTCTTTACAACCTTAGTGCAAACATGGACAAAAGACCTGAATTCCAGAGATGAGGTGAGAGTGACAGCCCTTTACATCAAGGCTGCATTCAACCAAGTGCTGTCAAGGACCCCTAGCAAAACTGGAATCAGCAGGTATCAGGGGACAAACTCCCCACTGGGTGGAGTCATACCTAGCACATAGGAAGATGGTTGTGGTTGTTGCAGGTCAGGTATTTCAGCTCCAGGACATCTCTGCAAGAGTTCCTTGGGGCTGTGTCCTAGGCCTAACTATCTTCAGCTGTTTTATGAATGATCTTTGCTCCATCATAAGATCAGAAGTGGATACACATCAGTGATTGCACAATGTTCAACACCATTTGCAACTCCTCAGATACTGAATCAGTCCATGTTCAAATGCAACAAGATCTGGACAATATGCAGGCTTGGGCTGACAAGTGGCAAGTAATATTTCTGCCACATAAATCCAGGCAATGACATCTCAAATGACAAGAACCTAAACACTGCTCCTTGACATTCAACGGCATAACCATCATTGAATCCCTTAATATAAACATCCTCAGAGTTACCACTGACCAGAAGCTCAATTGGACTTGCTATATAAACACTGTGGCTACAAAACAAGTCAGAAGCCAGGAATACTGTGGCGAGTAACTCACCTCCTCACTCTCCAAAGCCTGTTCACCGGCTATAAGGCACAAGACAGAAATGCTATAGAATACACCCCACGTACCTCGATGGCTGCAGCTCCAGCAACACTCAAGAAGCTTGACACCATCCAGGTCAAAGCAGTCTGCTTGATTGGCACTACATCCACAAGCATCCACTCCCTCCACCACTGACACTCAGTAGCAGCAGTGTGTACTATTTACAGAAATTCACCAAAGATCCTTAGGCAGCACCTTCCAAACCCCCGACCACTTCCATCTAGAAGGTCAATGGCAGCAGATACATGGGAACACCACAACCTGCAAGTTCCCCTCCAAGCCACTCACCATCCTGACTTGGAGATATATCACGTTCCTTCACTGTCACTGGGTCAAAATCCTGGAATTCCCTCCCTAATGCATGTGGATTGCAGCAGTTCAAGAAGCTGGTTAACCACCACCTTCTCAAGAGCAAACTAGGAACGGGCTATAAAAATGCTGGCCCTTTCAGCAATGCTCACAACCCACAAGTGAATACAAGAAATGGCACAGGAGGTCTTTTAGCCATTGAGTCTACGCCTGCAATAAAGAATGAAGGTGGTGTTTCTTTACCAGACCTCACCTAGTAAACTTGTTGCTAGATAACTTCACCAGATCCAAGTCACGTACCTAAGAGGATGGAAGGGTGTGGTATGGCTAACAAGTGATAACTGAAGTGGGGCAAGATCTGTGTACAGCAGTATTGTACAGCACTTGAACCAAATAGCCTGTTTCTGTGTTTTAGATTCAAGATATTAATTCTCATAAACAAATAATTATTCAAAGACATTTCTTTGTGCAAAGCCAAAAATCCTTTAGATAGCTACAACTAAGTATTTGCCATTACGCACACAACACTATTAGGATACCAGTATTGTGCCAGGGAATCATAAAATAAATGAATGATTCATCTCTCTTGATTGTGATTAATTCTTGTATGTATTTTGCACTGCAGGAGCCAGCTCTTAATAAAAATATTCTCTTCCAGGGAACAGACAGTTCCAGGGGTTGCATTATTTTAAATCCAACCATTGGATGCAACGTTTTGTTTTCCCGGGGATCAGAGTGTTGCTTTTGTTGTTGCAAGGTTTATGACAGTCCCTAGCAGCTGGGGGCAAGTGAGTACGATTAGAACTCAGGAAACAAACCCAGTGGCAGTACTGGCTTGGTGAAGCCCACTATTTGTGATGAAAGCTTTAGTTTGTGAGGGAGTGCGTGTAGTGCTCTCGCATATATTGAGTTGAATCCAGGAGTGCATAGACCAAGCCAAGGAAGGTGAACCACCAAAGCATGAGTAGTCTTTGAGGCAGTCCATGACAGAGCAGCTCTCAATGAAGTTCGAAAGCCAGGATGTCAAAAGTCAAGAATATAATCTCTTGTGACATTTCAATGAGATTTGGTCACCCACAGTGTGGGGGACATTGCTGAGAAATCCACACATCTGATTTGGCCATGTGTCATGTGTGCTATTGGGTGTTACCTATATTTGCCTCATGTTAAGTTTGGAATGTTAGAATATAAGTTATACCCATCTTGTCAATAATAATTGCATACTTGCTTGAGTACGTTTTATTGCATTGAACTAATTATTTTTGTTGACTAAATAAATCTGGTGGAATTGTTTCTGAACTAGATGCAGCCTAAAACCAATATAACTGACCAACTCATCAAGCTGATTACATTTAAAATGTGTTACAAAAAATGGCGGAGTGGGGCAAGAAAGAAATTGATGCAGCCCTCCAAATTCGGTCATAAAATGATGAAATGTCACTAACTTGAAATATTAACTCTGTTTGTCTCTCCACAGATGCTGCCAGAACTAAGTTCTTCCAGTTTACATTTCAGAATTCCAGCTTCTGCAATTTTTTACTTCTCTAGTCATCAACCAAATATAGAATTATAATAAAAACATCCTTTGGACAATGTGCTGTTCACAATTTAATTCACACTCATCAATTCCCTATTTATTTTATTAGATTTTTTTTTGCTGTCTTAGTAGTATCATTTATTACCAATTTCCACCATGCATTTCTATCCAAAACCTTCCAATCAATTGTCTGACGAAAGTAAATTGTATGATGGTTTCCTGGTTATTCTGATCAGCTGAAATCATTTTTGCATTGCAAATCAAGTATCTAAAACTTTGGGAATTAAATTAGTTTTTAATAATTTATTCCAAATGGGTTTGACTAAATTGGTTTTTAAAGGAAAAATGCAATTCAGTGTTTGTGTATTCATATTTCATCAATTTATAAACCAACTTCCTTCATCTGAAGATTGGACAGCTTTCAGCCATCATATTTAGCACCCAGCACCAATTCTCAAAGTTTATTACACCACTGTATCAGGCTGAACCCAACAGCCACTCTCTGTTTCTGATTTTGTTGTGCTGTGGAATTAGCAAAGATGTATGTGTTACCTATTCTTAACTTTTCAGAAGAAGGCAGTGAAGAGCTACCTCCATGCAGTGCAGGAACACCCATGGTGCTACTAGGAATGGAATTCGAGAACATTGACCCAGCGACAGTCAGACAACAGCAATATTTCTCCAAGTCAATGGTGTCTGGCTTGGAAGGAAACCTTCCAGTGTTGGTGTTCACTTGTGTCTGTTCCCTGGTGCTTCAAAGTTGTAGAGGTGTGCAAGAGACAAGGAAACTTAGTAAGTTGGTGCAGTACATCCTACACATAAAATGCACTGTTACACTGTGCACCAGTGCAGGAGAGAGATGCACTCACACAAGCAGTGGTGGGCAATCCATCACACCCTTGACTTGTTGTATATTGATGCTGGGGAGTCAGAAGGTGAGTTCCTCAATGTTGAATTCATAGCCCCTGACCAGTTGTGATAGCCACATTCTTTATATGGCTCATCCAAATAGGCTTCTGGCTTATGCAATCCCAAAATGTTGGCAGTGAAGGATTCAGCCTGGTCATCCTATTGAATATCAAAAGAATATGGTTAAGATGCCCTGTTAATGGAGATAGTTGTTGCTGGGCACTTGAGTACCATGAGTGCTACTTGACATTTATCATTTTGGATAACTAAATTTATTATGCGGCTTCCTCCCTTTGGTTAGTTGCTAACTTTCTATCACAGTTCCCAGCTGGTGTGACAGGCCTTTCGAGTTTTGATCTGATACTTAACTATGGGATTGCTTGTCCCTGTCTATTGCATGCCAGCTGCACTGTTTAGCATGCATTAGGTTGGCACCTCAGCTTTAGATATGCCTGATGTTGACCCTGGCATAATCTCCTGCACACCTCGTTGAACTAAAGTTGAATCCCTGCTCGCTAGGAATGATAGAGTCATAGAGTAATACAGCATGGAAACAGGCCCTTCGGCCTAAACTGACCACGGTGCCCACTCAGCTAGTTCCAATTGCCCGCATTTGGTCCATATCCCTCTAAACCCTTCCCATCCACATACCTATCCAAATGTTTTTTAAATGTTACTATTGTACCTGCCTCAACCACTTTCTCTGGCAGCCCATTCCATATACACACCACTCTCTGTGTGAAGAAGTTGACCCTCTGGTCCTTCTTAAATCTGCCCCCTCTCGCCTTTAAACCTATGCCCTCTAGTTTTCAATTCCCTAATATGCATTCTATATTGCTAGAATATTCTATTCTATATGCATTCACGTTGAGGTGCCAGTATTTGATGTACTGGGCCATGAATTGTGCTGCTGTTGCCGATGGCCTACACCACTTCATGGGTTTACAGCTGTTCGGCTTATTCTGAGTCTATTTCATTTAGCACAGTGGCTGCCCCACACAACACAATGGGCAGAAATCATGTCTGAGGATAATCAATATTACCCATAGTTCAAAAATCAGATTTCTTAGCCATCCAATGTTTCTAGCTGCTTATACAGAATATATATTAAAAAATCAAGTGCTTGTTTCAAGAAAGTAGATCGATGAAGTCAATTTTTTGTAGAAAGGGCCTGGAGGATATCTGTCTGCAGTCTTCTGTTGTTTACAAATTATACTTTATAATTGACAACAACGCTTTAAAATGATTGTTGTGTTTGTGGCTAATGCCACAGCAAGGTGGGCAGCATGTGCATGTGAGGAAAATCAAAACATCATCACATCCTCTGAATTTCTGTAGCCAGAATAAGATTTCTGCAGGAGGGATTCTTTGACAATATTCCAGAGATCTCACTTGGATTAATGGTATACTTAGAGAATACTGCATTGAAATTTTGATTTGTATCATTAAACAGTTCAAGTAAGACTAGTAAATGTCAAACCTTGCCAAAACCTATAGCACCAGTATGTTACTGTAATGCTCTCAGAACCCTCTCTCTGGCACATTTATTTACATTTTACAAAAGGAAACAAATAGAGTATTTCCTTGTTTGTGCTATAAAACAAAACAACCTTTTAATCATTGATTTGAGGTTCCGCAATCAATGGCAATCAAACAGATGTCTATAGCCACCTTGTAATTGGCAAGGCAGTGATTAACCTGTGTCAATTTTCTTTTCTTTGGATAGCATGGGATAATATGGGACAGGTGGATATTTCAAGCCCTGTTAACCGTTGTAAATTTGTAAACTCTCAATGAATGAATATAGACAGATGAGTATACATGAAGATCTATTGCCTGCTACATTACAATTCCTAACATGATCAAGATACAATCAATGTCACAGAAATCAATTGCATACGCATGAAGAACTGCTCAAGTACAGATGGCTCTGGGCCACCATTCCAGAGTTGTAACACACTTTTCACCATATTCATTAATGGTTAATTGCATGCTCCACATTCACAGAACATAAATTGCAAGTTTAAAAGCACAGCATGTGAAAGAAAACAAATTGACTATCGAGAATATGTGCCAGGCTAACAGTAGCTAAAAATGATTAACCTTTAACTGAAACCAGGGCACAACTATTTGAAGGTGTTTGCAAGTAACTAGCTTTAAACCTTTCTCGATTTACCTCGGCCAACTGCATGAACAACTGATGGACCATATCCTCGGATCTGGAATCCAAGACCATCTGCAGAGTCTGGAATCTTTATTGTCCTGTTAAATAAAATCCATTTGCTCTTTATTACAGTTTTCTCACAAACACTACAAGATTGAAACTTTTCAAAATAAAGGAATCATTTTAAAAGTGGTTTCTAACAATCTAATTAGGACACAGATTAACATAAAACATTGGTCGAGGCAGCACAAGCTAATTTTGGTCATTTCTGTAAATGGGAGGACACTACAGTGCAACGTACAAATATCTTCCTTCACGTTATGCTGCTTCTTTGTAAGTCCCATGGCACAAGTCAGAATGAAAGTAGCAATTTGTTTGAGGCAAACATAAACATTTGGGAATGAACAGTTCAATCAGCATTTCTGCTGGCCTTTTCACATCTTAGAAGTGACCATTCAGAAGAACAGAAAAATAAAAGGCAAACAAGTTTATTAACACAAAGAGGGGACAAAGAAAGAAAGGAAATCCAAATGTTTTTGTGATATATACATCCTGGAGTTACACTTTCCCTCCAGCAGAGCACTGGGCTGTTTAGACATTTCAAAACTAAAACTGGGGTGACACTTCTGCTCCTAAAGCCAAATGAAAAGAAAAGTGAAGACCACTATGCTGCTATTTCCCAAACTGCAAGTCAAAGATTGTGGGGGGGTGGGGGGGACAAATTATACTGTGGATAGATGTGGGGTTTATTCAAAGTGTAACAGATGTTAAAAAAGATAATTGTTGAAAATGGAGAAAATACTGAAGAATAGAGTGAGTGCAATAAATTGCATGGCACTGTTATCAACGTGATAGATTCTCCCCTCTAATAGCGTTCTCCAGTCTACTTTCCCAATCTCACTCAAATCTTGCATTCTGAACTTGACATTTTTTTGTCGTCAATCCTGTCCTTAATAACCTGAAATCTTCACAATGCTATAATCCAGTTTGCCGTATTCTGATCAGACTCTGACCACCTTCTAATTATTACAAAAGTTCCAATTCAGTGCATCAAAAATGTTTAATTCCCAGGTTGCAAAGACAAAGTGGATCTGCTGAGCTATTGTGTCAAATATTCATTGCCAGATGCTAGTCTGTCAGATGGGGGCTGAGGTCTTCACAGACAAAATGGGAAGCAGTTTATGACTTCAGGAGGCAGAACCTGACAGTTAGCACTTAAACGAATCAGGAGAGGATGATCATCGTCATCCCACTCTCATTTCTCTGAGTATGCTGAGCAGTCATCCAACACAAGATTAATCAAAATAGATGGAATGGAGCTCACACTGTGGGGCGCTTAAGGGACAGCTGCACTGTAGAACCCAATTGTAGGTCTTGCCATGAAACAAAGGCAAATAGCCCAAGTAGGAGGTTTGAGTGGCCGCTTCACTTGTAAGTGCATCTGGAGTGTAGGAGGTTTAGGGGTGATTTTTTGGGGTTTATAAAATCATGAGGGTCATGGATAGGGTGAATAACAGGTGTCTTTTCCTTATGGTGGGGGATGTCATGACTAGGGGGCATATTGCTAAGGTGAGAGGAGAAAGATTTAAAAAGGACAAGGGGAAACTTTTTTACACAGAGAATCGTTCATGGGTGGAATGAACTGCCAGAGGAAGTGGTGGATGCAGGTACAGTGATAACATTTAGAAGACATTTGGATTAGTATATGAATAGGAAAGATTTGGAGAGAAAAGGGCCAAATGCAGGCAGGTAGGATTAGGTTAGTTTTGGACTATGGTCAGTGTGGACTGGTTACACTGAAGGATCTGTTTCAATGCTGTGTGACTCTATGACTCTGTCTAGTGAAGAGCCAAAGAGAAAGAAAGCATAATTCATATATAACAGGTTGTGGCATTCATTTCCCTGACCCATTGAACTAATTGATTCTCCTGTGATCACATTTTGATATTGTGATGTATTTAAAGAATAATTCCAAACTGAAGAAAGTTTTACACTAACAAAACTACACAGAATGTGTTCTTATTATTTGGTTCTACAAAACATGAACAAAAACAAATCAGATTGATAGTCCAGAATAAGATTTAAAGTCATGATGTGGAGATGCCAGCGTTGGACTGGGGTGGATAAGGTCAGAAATCACACGACACCAGGTTATAGTCCAACAGGTTTATTTGAAAACACAAGATTTAAAATGACAAATTGCACAAACATTAATTAGAAAAATATCTCCCTTCTGTTGAATTTCAAGTAGAATTATTGCTAAAGAGCAAAACTGTTCATTTTTGTCAGCAGTAAACTATCAAGTGTTTTCTTGGGGACGTGGTCTTTTCTTATACAAGTGAAAATAACAGTTAGCTGGGTCATAGATTTCAGCCAATGACAGGCTTAATTGACTAGAATTGGTTCTAGTTTGGAGCTCAGGAATCAATCACCTCCATTTATCTTCTCCTGTTGGCATTTTCCCTGGCTACACAGTTCAGAGCACAAACATGATAGGCACAAGCTCACACACCACCAGTTAATGCTGTCACTTGTTGGTGCTCTAAAAAAAAAGCTGCATACATTCCAAAATAATCATACCATGCGTGGCCACCCAGCTAAAGTCAGCACCTCCATTATCCTAAGGTTGGATATCATAACCCTATTCCATTGGGTAAAAGATATAAAAGTGTGAAAACACATACTAACAGATTCAAGAACAGCTTCTTCCCTTCTGTTACCAGGTTTATGAACAACCTCGCATAGATTAATCTTTCTCCACACCTTCTCTGCAGCTGTGACAGTATATTCTGCATCAGTTCTATTACCCTGATATACTTAGATAAGGTATGATTTGTCTGGTTAGCATGCAAAACAATACTTTTCACTATATATCGGTACATGTGACAATAATAAATCAAATCAAATAAGAAAATAAAGACATTGATTTTCCTTTCCTCCCATGACCTCAACAATAATTGGTTTCTGAACTTTTTCACATGGCATGGTTAGTACTGCTGCTTTGCAACTGATTTGGACTCAGTATCAGGCTGGATATTGCTGACAAGCAGTTGGTGTCCAGGCCCATTTCTACCGAAAAGGAGAGAAACAAGCCTGAGACTCTCAGAGGTCACTGGCAGACACCCCAATGCAGCGATCTTCAGTGCGCAGTACGCTTGCACAATACTTGGGACAGACATCATCTCGGGAGGTTGTCAGAGAATGGCAGCAGCATTATCACAGCATCTTTACCCCATTGAAATGAAATGAAATTTGTCTGTCAGCTTCTGACAGAGTTTCCCATGAAATCCCTGTCGCGTAAAAGGAGGCAGATATTCAGGAGTACTTTTTTACTGGTACATTGGTAATTTGTGAAAATTGTGCAAGTTTAGCCTTGTATCTTTACATATTCTCTGCAAGTTCAGCAGTTTTGGAGTTCACAAGAGTAGGATTAGACCTGTTGTATCTTTACAGTTTCTGGAGAGAGTGTAGCAGTGTTGGCATCGTGGGGAACGTGGCAACAGTTGTGGGCTCGGTGCAGTGTCAGATGGAGGTCTGGTGTGGGAAAGGGGCTGTGGGCTCAGTGCAGTGTCAGATGGAGGCCCGGTGTGGGGAAGGGGCTGTGGGTCTGGAGCAGTGTCAGATGGAGGCCCGGTGTGGGGAAGGGGCTGTGGG